GGAAAGAGCAGGAGGAAACGGAGGAGAACGGAGGAAAACGGGGAGAAAACAGGGGGGAAACAGGAGGAAATAGGAAGAACTGGAGGAAAACTGGAGGTGAACAGGGGGGAGAACAGAGATAAGCAGGGGAACATGAGGAAACTGGGGAGAATAGGGGAAAGAAGGGGAAGGCAGGAAAAAAAACAGGAGAAGCAAGAGGAGAGCAGGAGAAAAACAGAGGAAGCAAAGGAGAGCAGGAAAAGAAAAGGGAAACGGGAAGAACGGGAGGAGAGCAGGAGAAGAACAGGGGAGGCAAGAGGACAGCAGGAGAAGAACAGGAAGAAAGGGGAGGCAGGGGGAGAAGGGGAAAACAGGAGGAGGCGGGAAAAAACAGGAGGAAGAAAAGGGAGAGCGGGAGGAAACGGGGAGAAACAGGAGGAAAACAGGAGAAGAACAGGGGGAGAACAGGAAAAGACGGGAGGAGAGCAAGAGGAAGCAGAGAAGAACGGGAGGAAACGGGAAGAAAGGGGAGAGCAGGAAAAAACGGGAGGAGAGCAAGAGGAAGAAGAAGAACGGGAGAGCAAGGGGGAAGCTGGAGGAGAACGGAAGAACAGGAGGAAACAGGAGAAGAACGGGGAGGAGAGCAAGAGGAGAGCAGGAGAAGAACAGGAGGAGAGCAAGAGGAGAGCAGGAGAAGAACAGGAGGAGAACGGGAAGAACAGGAGGAGAGCAGGAGAAGAACAGGAGGAGAGCAAGAGGAGAGCAGGAGAAGAACAGGAGAGCAAGAGGAGAGCTGGAGGAGAACGGGAAGAACAGGAGGAGAGCAGGAGGAGAGCAGGAGGAGAGCAGGAGGAGAACGGGAGGAACAGGAGGAGAACAGGAGAAGAACAGGAGGAGAGCAAGAGGAGAGCAGGAGGAGAACGGGTAGAACAGGAGGAGAGCAGGAGAAGAACAGGAGGAGAACGGGAAGAACAGGAGGAGAGCAGGAGAAGAACAGGAGGAGAGCAAGAGGAGAGCAGGAGGAGAACGGGAAGAACAGGAGGAGAGCAGGAGAAGAACAGGAGGAGAGCAAGAGGAGAGCAGGAGGAGAACGGGAGGAGAACGGGAGGAGAACAGGAGGAGAACAGGAGAAGAACAGGAGGAGAGCAAGAGGAGAGCAGGAGAAGAACAGGAGGAGAACGGGAAGAACAGGAGGAGAGCAGGAGAAGAACAGGAGAGCAAGAGGAGAGCAGGAGGAGAACGGGAGAGCAAGAGGAGAGCAGGAGGAGAACGGGAAGAACAGGAGGAGAGCAGGAGAAGAACAGGAGGAGAGCAAGAGGAGAGCAGGAGGAGAACGGGAGGAGAACGGAAGGAGAACAGGAGAAGAACAGGAGGAGAATAGGAGACGAACTGGAGGAGAACTGGAGGTGAACAGGAGGAGAACAGGAGATAAGCAGGAGAACATGAGGAGAACTGGAGGAGAATAGGAGAAGAACTGGAGGAGAACAGGAGAAGAACAGGAGGAGAGCAAGAGGAGAGCAGGAGAACAACAGGAGAGCAAGAGGAGAGCAGGAGAAGAACAGGAGGAGAGCAAGAGGAGAGCAGGAGAAGAACAGGAGGAGAGCAAGAGGAGAGCAGGAGAAGAACAGGAGGAGAACGGGAAGAACAGGAGGAGAGCAGGAGAAGAACAGGAGGAGAGCAAGAGGAGAGCAGGAGAAGAACAGGAGGAGAGCAAGAGGAGAGCAGGAGAAGAACAGGAGGAGAACGGGAAGAGCAAGAGGAGAGCAGGAGAAGAACGGGAAGAACAGGAGGAGAGCAGGAGAAGAACAGGAGGAGAGCAAGAGGAGAGCAGGAGAAGAACAGGAGGAGAACGGGAAGAACAGGAGGAGAGCAGGAGAAGAACGAGGAGAGCAAGAGGAGAGCAGGAGGAGAACGGGAGGAGAACGGGAGGAGAACAGGAGAAGAACAGGAGGAGAACAGGAGAAGAACAGGAGGAGAGCAAGAGGAGAGCAGGAGAAGAACAGGAGGAGAACGGGAAGAACAGGAGGAGAGCAGGAGAAGAACAGGAGGAGAGCAAGAGGAGAGCAGGAGAAGAACAGGAGAGCAAGAGGAGAGCTGGAGGAGAACGGGAAGAACAGGAGGAGAGCAGGAGAAGAACGAGGAGAGCAAGAGGAGAGCAGGAGGAGAACGGGAAGAACAGGAGGAGAGCAGGAGAAGAACAGGAGGAGAACGGGAAGAACAGGAGGAGAGCAGGAGAAGAACAGGAGGAGAGCAAGAGGAGAGCAGGAGAAGAACAGGAGAGCAAGAGGAGAGCTGGAGGAGAACGGGAAGAACAGGAGGAGAGCAGGAGAAGAACAGGAGGAGAACGGGAAGAACAGGAGGAGAGCAGGAGAAGAACAGGAGGAGAGCAAGAGGAGAGCAGGAGAAGAACAGGAGAGCAAGAGGAGAGCAGGAGGAGAACGGGAAGAACAGGAGGAGAGCAGGAGAAGAACAGGAGGAGAACGGGAAGAACAGGAGGAGAGCAGGAGAAGAACAGGAGGAGAGCAAGAGGAGAGCAGGAGGAGAACGGGAAGAACAGGAGGAGAGCAGGAGAAGAACAGGAGGAGAACGGGAAGAACAGGAGGAGAGCAGGAGAAGAACAGGAGGAGAGCAAGAGGAGAGCAGGAGGAGAACGGGAAGAACAGGAGGAGAGCAGGAGAAGAACAGGAGGAGAGCAAGAGGAGAGCAGGAGGAGAACGGGAGGAGAACAGGAGGAGAACGGGAAGAACAGGAGGAGAGCAGGAGAAGAACAGGAGGAGAGCAAGAGGAGAGCAGGAGGAGAACGGGAGGAGAACGGGAGGAGAACAGGAGGAGAACAGGAGAAGAACAGGAGGAGAGCAAGAGGAGAGCAGGAGAAGAACAGGAGGAGAACGGGAAGAACAGGAGGAGAGCAGGAGAAGAACAGGAGGAGAGCAAGAGGAGAGCAGGAGAAGAACAGGAGAGCAAGAGGAGAGCAGGAGGAGAACGGGAGAGCAAGAGGAGAGCAGGAGGAGAACGGGAAGAACAGGAGGAGAGCAGGAGAAGAACAGGAGGAGAGCAAGAGGAGAGCAGGAGGAGAACGGGAGGAGAACGGAAGGAGAACAGGAGAAGAACAGGAGGAGAACAGGAGGAGAATAGGAGACGAACTGGAGGAGAACTGGAGGTGAACAGGAGGAGAACAGGAGATAAGCAGGAGAACATGAGGAGAACTGGAGGAGAATAGGAGAAGAACTGGAGGAGAATAGGAGAAGAACTGGAGGAGAACAGGAGAAGAACAGGAGGAGAGCAAGAGGAGAGCAGGAGAACAACAGGAGAGCAAGAGGAGAGCAGGAGAAGAACAGGAGGAGAGCAAGAGGAGAGCAGGAGAAGAACAGGAGGAGAGCAAGAGGAGAGCAGGAGAAGAACAGGAGGAGAACGGGGAGAACAGGAGGAGAGCAGGAGAAGAACAGGAGGAGAGCAAGAGGAGAGCAGGAGAAGAACAGGAGGAGAGCAAGAGGAGAGCAGGAGAAGAACAGGAGGAGAACGGGAAGAGCAAGAGGAGAGCAGGAGAAGAACGGGAAGAACAGGAGGAGAGCAGGAGAAGAACAGGAGGAGAGCAAGAGGAGAGCAGGAGGAGAACGGGAGGAGAACAGGAGAAGAACAGGAGGAGAACAGGAGAAGAACAGGAGGAGAGCAAGAGGAGAGCAGGAGAAGAACAGGAGGAGAACGGGAAGAACAGGAGGAGAGCAGGAGAAGAACAGGAGGAGAGCAAGAGGAGAGCAGGAGAAGAACAGGAGAGCAAGAGGAGAGCAGGAGGAGAACGGGAAGAACAGGAGAAGAACAGGAGGAGAGCAAGAGGAGAGCAGGAGGAGAACGGGAGGAGAACGGGAAGAACAGGAGGAGAGCAGGAGAAGAACAGGAGGAGAGCAAGAGGAGAGCAGGAGAAGAACATGAGAGCAAGAGGAGAGCAGGAGGAGAACGGGAAGAACAGGAGGAGAGCAGGAGAAGAACAGGAGGAGAACGGGAAGAACAGGAGGAGAGCAGGAGAAGAACAGGAGGAGAGCAAGAGGAGAGCAGGAGGAGAACGGGAGGAGAACGGGAGGAGAACAGGAGGAGAACAGGAGAAGAACAGGAGGAGAGCAGGAGAAGAACAGGAGGAGAGCAGGAGAAGAACAGGAGGAGAGCAGGAGAAGAACAGGAGGAGAGCAGGAGAAGAACAGGAGGAGAGCAGGAGAAGAACAGGAGGAGAGCAGGAGAAGAACAGGAGAGCAAGAGGAGAGCAGGAGGAGAACGGGAAGAACAGGAGGAGAGCAGGAGAAGAACAGGAGGAGAGCAAGAGGAGAGCAGGAGGAGAACGGGAGGAGAACGGGAGGAGAACAGGAGAAGAACAGGAGGAGAGCAAGAGGAGAGCAGGAGAAGAACAGGAGGAGAGCAGGAGAAGAACAGGAGGAGAGCAAGAGGAGAGCAGGAGAACAGGAGAGCAAGAGGAGAGCTGGAGGAGAACGGGAAGAACAGGAGGAGAGCAGGAGAAGAACGAGGAGAGCAAGAGGAGAGCAGGAGGAGAACGGGAGAGCAAGAGGAGAGCAGGAGGAGAACGGGAAGAACAGGAGGAGAGCAGGAGAAGAACAGGAGGAGAGCAAGAGGAGAGCAGGAGAAGAACAGGAGGAGAGCAAGAGGAGAGCAGGAGGAGAACGGGAAGAACAGGAGGAGAGCAGGAGAAGAACAGGAGGAGAGCAAGAGGAGAGCAGGAGGAGAACGGGAGGAGAACGGGAAGAACAGGAGGAGAGCAGGAGGAGAACGGGAGGAGAACGGGAGGAGAAAATGAGAAGAACTGGAGGTGAACAGGAGGAGAAAAGGAGAAGAGCAGGAGAACGAGAGAAAATCCGATTGATGCCTGAACTGATTTAAAAAAATAAAAGTTTAAGTTAGGTTAACTCCTCTCTATATTTTCGGACCTTTTTGTCCCTAATCAGACCCTGTAGCTGAGAGCAGGTAGAACCTTCAGATGTCCTCTGCTCTGGTCTGACTGGCTGTCTGTGCCGCAGGTGTTGGTGCGCTCTGATTGGTCTGGTGAACTCTACGGCAGCCTGTTGGTGGACGAGGGCGGAGCCATAGGTGCTGACCTCCTATTGGACGAGAGCCAGCAGCATCTTTATGTTTTGACCGAGGAGCGGGTGAGACACGCCGCTGTCCCTCTACCATGCCTTGGTTTCCTTTGTCTTCTCCAGAAAAAATCAGCTCCTTTTTCTCGTCTCAGGTGTCAAAGGTTCCCGTTTCGTCCTGTGAGAGACAGACGGACTGCCAGTCCTGTCTGTCCATCAGAGACCCTTACTGTGGCTGGTGTGTCCTGGAGGGAAGGTAGGTCTGTCCATCACCTGTCTCTGCCCATCCCTGGATTTTTTCTCATAGGAGTCCTTTGGCCCCATCTAGTGGACATTAAAGGGACTGCATTTTGTTTCAGAAACTGATCCTTTATTTGGACTTCCTGTTTTCCAGGTGTTCCCGTAAACATGAGTGTGAGCGTCACCTGCTGGCCAACCATTGGCTTTGGAGCTTTGAACAGACCAATCAGTGCGTCACAGTGCAGAGCCTGCAGCCGGCCAATCAGAGCAGAGAGGAGCAGACTCAGGTATAAGGAGCTGTGGGGTCATGCGGTTGAAGCCTCTGATGTACGAAAGGGTTTTGGTTCTGATCCGATCCGGTTCAGGCTTTCAGTTCAGTTCTAGGTATAGTTCCCTGTTACTGATTTAGTGCAAATACTCACCATATTCCAAGGTCTTCCCCGAACATGGCCGCCTCTGGGGAAACCGAGAGGAGACGACGGAACCAGCACAGCTGTGAACTCTCAGAAATGGAGCCTGCTGTTCTGCACAGATAATAAAATCTACAGATGTCTTGCCATACAGTTCCTTTTAAAGCAGTAACAGTAGACAGGCTGGGAGAGAAAGAAATCACTTCTTCATAACACGGTTAAGATTCTCAGTCATCCAGGTCATTACATAAAAATTTAAAATCAATCCTCTGGACTTTGTTTCCAAGTTTGAAGACGTTTCTCTTCCATCCAGGAAGATTTTTCAATCCAAATGTCAGAAATAGCGTTTAGTTCCAGGTTTTATCCAGCATCTCAACAAAGCCTGGTTTTAGTTTAGAAAACATGCAAATAGAAACGGATGAACAGGTCCCCCCCTTTGGAATGGGGGTCGTTTGACTTCTTTGTTAGCCGTCAATGCCCCATAGCTGTCTATGTCTCTGAAAGGGGGGTATTGCAGGTTAACAAAGACCTCAACGCTCCCCATTACTGAGAGGTGGAACACTTCAATTAGCATTTTTTCTAAGCCAAAATAAGGCTGTTCCAGATCCACAACTTTCCTTCTGTTTGTCTCCAAGGTAACGCTGTCCGTCATCCAGCTGCCTGAACTCCGGGGGGAGGAGTCTCTCTCCTGTGTCTTTGGGAATCTCCCCCCTCACCCAGCCGTCGTCATGGGAACAACTCTTACCTGTCAGTCACCTGCACAGAAGCTCCTCCCACCATTGCCAGCAGGAAGTGGTGAGTTAATAACATCTGCGGAGTTCCCATGTCTCCTGTCCTGGTGCTGAGTGACCTCTGTCCCCACAGATCACAGGATCCTACCCGTGTCTCTGATGTTCGGTCACGTGACCATCACCACGGGAAACATGACCTTCTACGATTGTGGAGCCGTAAGCCGACTGAACCAGAGTTCTCAGTAAGAGTCCAGAATCTTTACAGCAGCAAATTTAGGCCAGAAAGGAGCAGAGGAGGGGGAGGAGGAGGAGGAGGAGGAGGAGAGGAGGAGGAGGAGAGGAGGAGGGGGAGGAGGAGGAGGAGGAGGAGGAGAGGAGGAGGAGGAGGAGGAGGGGGAGGAGGAGGAGAGGAGGAGGGGGAGGAGGAGGAGAGGAGGAGGAGGAGAGGAGGAGGGGGAGGAGGAGGAGGGGGAGGAGGAGGAGGAGGAGAGGAGGAGGAGGGGGAGGAGGAGGAGAGGAGGAGGGGGAGGAGGAGGAGGAGGAGCAGAGGAGGGGGAGGAGGAGGAGGAGGGGAGGAGGAGGAGCAGAGGAGGAGGAGGAGGAGGAGGAGGAGGAGGAGGAGAGGAGGAGGAGGAGGAGGAGAGGAGGGGGAGGAGGAGGAGAGGAGGAGGGGGAGGAGGAGGAGGAGGAGCAGAGGAGGGGGAGGAGGAGGAGGAGGAGGAGGAGGGGGAGGAGGAGGGGGAGGAGGAGGAGAGGAGGAGGGGGAGGAGGAGGGGGAGGAGGAGGAGAGGAGGAGGGGGAGGAGGAGAGGAGGAGGAGGAGGAGGAGGAGGAGGAGGAGGGGGAGGAGGAGGGGGAGGAGGAGGAGGAGGAGAGGAGGAGGAGAGGAGGAGGGGGAGGAGGGGGAGGAGGAGGAGGAGGAGGAGAGGAGGAGGAGGGGGAGGAGGAGGAGGAGGGGGAGGAGGAGGAGGAGGAGAGGAGGAGGAGGAGGAGGACCACCACCATCATGGTGATAATGTTTGTTTCCCAGTGAGGATAATTGTGATAAAGATGAATATGGTGGTGATACTAGGGATGATGATGATGATGATTTCCTTTTTGAAGCTTCTAGTTAGAGTGGCTGGTTGACAGTTGCCTTTTGTGTCTATGCTTCTTTTTCTATGTCTGCTTCTGTCTCCTTGAACCCCAGTGGGCCTCAGCAGATGGCCGCTCACACTGAGCCTGGTTCTGCTGGAGGTTTCTTCCTGTTCAAAGGGAGTTTTTCCTCTCCACTGTCGCTACAAGCATGCTTAGTGTGAGGGATTGCTGAAGAGTCAATGAGTCGATGCAATCAGCTGGTTTTCCTTAGATAGAAAACGAAAGTTACTACCGTAACTACGGTTCTATGAATCCCGGATGACCGCCAGAGGCGGTGCTTCAAGCACTGAATGATCATTCTTGCGCATGCGCAGGTCGAGTATTAATGACAACAAAGTCAGCTTGGACCTGCCGGGGACCCACGTGACTCTATATAGTCACGTGGCACCCGGCAATCAATCCCTCAATCTTCTCGCGAAAGCAGAGATTCCGAGGACCAAGCAACTCTGGCGGTCATCCGGGTTTCATAGAACCGTAGTTACGGAAGAAACCCTTTCCGTTTCTATTTTTTCCCAAATGCCCGGGCCAGAGGGGGGGGGGTTTGCTTAAAAGCACTGGTGACTCTTATAAAACAAGGTAAAAGGGGGGGGGAAATCAGCAACTTTCCCAAGGGAACAACGCCCTTAAAAAACCCCCCACCTAATGTGATGGAGGCAGGGTGCTCGGGGGGTTCCCCTGAACGGATGGGGCGCACCCAAATTTTTTCCCCCCTGTAAAAAACCGAGTAAAGGTAAAAAGGTGTTTTCCCCAGGAGGCCCCCCACGAAAATTATAACACCCAATGGCACCCCATTCATAGCAGAAAAACGATGCCCGACATGCCCCCTTGTAGAGTGGCATTTCACTCCCCCCGGGCTTTGGCCGGCCCCTGCAAGGCATAACCCCTTTGGGAAAGACAAAATCCAAAAACCCAGTGTGCAAGTCGTTTGCTTAAAAGTCCCGGGCCCTTTCCCGTGAGCCACCGCAGCAAAAAAAAGGCTTTTTTGCCCTTTTCAAAGGGAGGGCCGTGGCTTTGGGTGTTTTGTTTTAAAAGGGGGCCAACGGACAACACAGTGGTTCGAGGGTTTTTCCGGGGGGTCAAACCGGGCAAGTTTGGGGGGGGGCGGGTGCTGCCTGCTGGCGGGGATCCCTTGGGAAAAAAGCACATCAGCCCACCGTGTAACGTGAGCCATCAGGTTTCCACCGGCAGCGGGGTTCGGCTATCGAGGGGCCCTGTAACTCCCTACCCCTTTTTTGGGGGGAAAACCCAATAGCAAAAAAGGGAACGAAACTTCATTTAGAGCCCATTTGAGGGCCCCGCCACCCAGGGGCCTAAAAATGGGGGGGGAAACCGAAAGACCCCAAAGCACAAGGGGGAAAAGGGTCCCACCCTTTTTGCCACAGGGGGGTTTTGGGTGGGTGAAAACCCGCCGAGCACCTTTTTAAAAACAGTCCCAACACCCTTGCTGGGCCCCAAACAGAAAACCCATTAAACCCCCAACATTCCAACGGGGAAAAGGCAGCCACTTTAAAACCTTTAAGGTGAGGGGGGCCGTCCTTGAACCCAGCAAAACCTGCAGGAAGGCAGAAAGCCCAGAAACGGAGCACTGCACCGGGTCCTGCCCTCTATAAACGGCACCAGGCGCAAAACCGTCCACTTTTAGCATAACAGCCCCCGGGGGCCGGCGCCCATGCATTAGCCTTTGGGATTGCCCTATGGACCCAGTGTATCTTGAAAAAGGGGTGGACCCGGCCTTGCGGGGGCCAAATCCAGAGATGGACCCGGGTTTCCGGGTTTCGGGGGGGTGTGGAACAAAATTCTGCCCCCCCCATCTGGAAAGAAGGCCCCTCTGGAGGGGAGACCATTGGCGAGCCGGACCCTGAGTTTGCACAGTAGGGGAAAAACCCAAGTCCTCCGGGGCCAGTAGGGGGCCACCAGCAGGCCCCGTGCCCCCTCCTGACGTACCCCTAAAAAGGAGATTTAAAAAGGGTTTAGGCAAATGGGGGGAAAAGGCAAAAAAAAAGGGGAAGGGTCCGGGGCCCAGTCTTTGTCCCAGAGAAACGGGCCCAGGGGGCTGCTGTTGTCCAACGAGAAAAAAAGGGGGGACAGTAAAATGCGCCCCTTGGGGCAAAGAGGCCCAAGGGCCGCCCCCCAAAAAGGGCCCCTTTTAAAGAGCCCCTCCACCACCCCCCTTGGTAAAAGCTTCCATCCCCTGGAAGGGGCCCTTCTGACGGGTTTAGAAAACCCTGCGGCACTTCTCCGGCCCTGGGATGTAGGCTCTCTGGGGGCTGGTATGCTTTGGAGCTCCCCAAGGTCAGAAGCCGTTGATTTCCAAGCAAAACAGTTTCCTTGACCCCCCGTCCCCCCCTGGGGGTTTGATGGGGAAAGACCACTGTGGTGTTGCCCCTGCCCCTCACCAGCACGTGCTTCCCCCCCCAACCCTGGAAGAAAGCTCTGAAGAGCCAGAAGCACAGCCTGTAACCCCGGACTTTTGATGTTTCCCTGCCCGGGCCGGGGGGCCATGCCCCCTGTGCCATTTGCCCCCCGCCAGGTTGCCCCCCACCCCGGGGGAGGATGCATCTGAAACACAACCCCCCCGAGGACACGGGGGGGGAACCCCGACCCGGGGACCCCTTTTGGTCAAAAAACAACCTCCCCCTCCTTTGGGGACAGGGGGATTTGAAGACACTGAGGCCCCCCCCGAAGTCTTCGGAGACGATGATTTCCGTGTGGGATCCAGTTTCAAGCTGTTAAACCCACATCGGGGGGGCCGGCAATAAAGCAGCCCCAAGGGCACAAGGGGGAGGGCCAGCTGTAAGCATCCCCCAAGATCGAAGATACCCCCACAAGAGGGAAACGCCATGCCGCGCCTAAATTTTCCGGGGGAGCACGCCCCAATATACTGTCCACCCGCTGGGGGGGCCCGGGAAAGGGCAGTCATTGAGAGGGAAAATCCTGGAAATGCCCAGGAAGACAGTCCCCCTGTGAGGGGGTCAGACTGTTTTTTCCCCCATGTTCACCCCCGAAGCCCAAGCATCCCACATGATGGAGCACAAACCCAGTATCTGGGAAACCCCCTGGTCCCACGTCGCGGCACAAATGAGCCAGTCGCCCAGATTTTGGAAAGGATCCTCAATCCCTGTCCTGCAGGGAAAAGGGGGGGGCCCCCCTGAAAAACACATCGGGGTGAACCCCCTGGGGGACAGGGGGAAAAATTCCCGAACGGGAGGACCCTGAACGGGAAAAATGCCCCCCTTAAAAAAGCAAAACAAAAAAAAAACCGCCAATGGGGGGGGGAGCGTGGGAAGGGAAAAAAAAGCATCCCGAGATCTAGGGAAAAAGTGAACCAATCCCCCGGGGGGAAAATCCCCTGCAACATTTCCCTTTTGGTGGAAGCAAATTTAAAAGGGGCCCCATGGCCTTCAAGTCCCCCATTCAGGCCCTGAGGTCCAAAAACGGGGACGCGGGCCCCCCGGGGTTCTTCTTGGAAAACCAGAAAATACGGGGAAAATTAAAACCCCCCTGGATCCACGGGGGTCCACAGGCACAATTAGCACCCGGGCCCAAGCAAGGTGCAATTTTTTGGGTTAAAGTGCCGGGCCTTCCCACCGGGTCGTGGATCACGGGTCCATCCTGCCCCCCCCCCCCCAGGAAGGGGTGGGGCCGCGGGCGAATTGAAGAGGGTTTTACCCCCCCGGGCCCGGGGGGGAAACAACCCCCACAAGTCCGGGGAGTTGGGCACCCAGAAAGCTGAGTTTGCCCCCGGGGGAAAAAAAAAAAAACCGACCGCCGGCCCAAAGGCATCATTGCGGGTCCCCCGGCCCTTCGAAGGCCCGGGGGGAAAGGACCCCGGCCGGGACTGCGCGGCCCCCAAAAAAGGGATGAAAGGACCTCGTCCCGGGCCGGGTTCTCGAGCTCTTTTTCCTCCGATCTAAGCGGGGTCCCCGGACCAAACCGGGATTTTTTTAAAAAACAAAACCCGGGGGGGCTCAGTGGAGAAGGAAAGGGCACTAAGGACCTCCGTAAAGGGGACCCGCAGCTGCCCAGGGGGCTTACTGGCTGGCAAACCCCGTTTTTTAACCCCTGCCAGCTGTTCCCTTCGTTTTAAGGCCCTGGCCGTACGCCCCAAAGGCGTCCAGTGCCGCTAAACCCAAAAAAAAGTTTCCCCCGGGCCCACGGCAGGGCCCGGAGGGTCCTCCCAAAAAAAGGCCCCAGTTATTTGGTGATTTTGGCCCCAAAACCAGCCCCTGGGGGGCGACATGAACCAGTGTGGAGGGGTGGGGTGCCCAATTTTCCCTCTTCAAAGAGAAAAGGGGCCTTTGCAAATGAAACAACCGGGCCCTTTTGCGGGGCATGACCAGGGGAAACCCGTTTCCCAAAGGGGGAAACAGGGCCAGCAAAAGATGGGAGGAGAGTTCCCAACCCTGGCCCATGCGGGCCCCAAGTCATAGGCCTTACAGAAAAAGGTCTGGGTTTAAATACGGCACCTGAGGCGCCAACAACGGGCTTTGGGGCCCCCGAAAGGGCCTCATCAGGCGGGATTTAAAAGAGAGGCAATGGGGGGTTTCCCACCGCTGGCATTCCCCCAACCCAAACCTTGGGTCCCTCCTGCATAGCTCCCAAAGGACCCTCCCACCCCGTCGTCAACGTAAAAACCCCTTGGTGTCCTGCCCCGCAAGCATGCATTTCCCCGCAAAAAAACCCCCCCGGGGGAAAGGAAACCCAAAGGCGGGCTCTGACCTAAAAAGGGGGCCCCCTGGGGAAAAAATAATCTGTAAAGGGCAAGAGCCTTTTCGAAAAAAGCGGATGTAAACAGACTCCCCCGTATCCCCGGGGAGGAAATGGAGCCCGGCCCCAAAGGGGCCCCCGGAGCCCACTCCGGAAGGTCCTCACAGAAAGGGGTTTTGCCAGAGGCCGCCCCCCAAAAAACAGAAATGCGGTCATTGACTGACTTTCATCCTGTTTCGGTAGGGAAAAGCCGTGCCCCCATCCCCACAGTCCAAAAGGGGAACTGGAGGGGGGCTTTCTTTTGGGGCCGCCAGCCAAAGGAGATAAATCCACTCGGGGTGGACAACCTCCCTGCATCGGCCCCGCCCTAGCACCTTCGTGGGGGACCCGAAGGTGCATCCACAGTAGATGGGTTTGCAAAACCGCTTTCTCCTCGGCAAAGGCACGCGGCGGGGGCGCTCGCCCAGTCGGAAGGTTTGCTCCAGTGCAGAAAACCGATCCATGTGCCCCGGCCCCGGGGCTGACGCGACAGTTGGGGCAAGGCCCATCTGACAGCCCCCCCGGAGATGTTCCACCCCCGAGGAGGAGGGACACAAGTCAGGGCCCGCACCCCCGGCTGAAGGGGGAGCCAGAAGGTCGAGCAAATAAATTACCCAGCCTTTCATCCTGCTAAAAAAAGGCGGTGATCACCCTTTGCAAACCAAAGGGGCAAGTCAAACACGAGAGGGGAAAACGCTACGGGGCGAACTCTTTTGTGGGAAAAAACCCCCGCAGAGTTTCCCAAAACTCAGCGGGGAGCAAAAAAGCCACTGCAAATCGATTATTAATAAAGATAAATCAGACGAGCGGGAGACGCCATGGTGATTTTAGGAAAACCCAAAATAAAAGGAAGAACCCCCCCCGCGGCAAAAACCGCAAACGGGTGGGAAAGGCAAACAAACAAAAAAACAACTCAGCGCGAGCAAAAACGCCACTGGGAGGGGAGATAAACAAACTATAGAAGAACCCAACGGGGGGCAAAAAAACCGAAACTGGGGGGGCTTGGGCAAACAAATAAAAACCCAACTAGCGCGACCCAAAAAACGCCAATGGGGGAGGTAGATAAACAAAATTAAGAAAAACCCCAACCCCCGAGCAGAAACGCAAACTGGGGGGGTTTAGGCAAAAAAAAACTGAAAAAACTCAGCGCGAGCAAAAACCGCTACCGTGAGTCAAAAAAGCCAAAAAATTTAAACCGTGGAAAATTAAAAGCGAACAGAAAACTACTGCTGAGAAAAGAACAAAAAACCTTAACCAGTCACCGCAGATCTGGTAAGGTGAAAGCGCTTGGGGCACCCCCTGGGGGGCGGATTTAAACCCGAGCCCCGGGCCCAAAAAACCGGGTTCCCCGGGGCTCCCAAGCAACAACCCACCAGGAAATTGGTGGAAAAAAATACACAGAAGAAACCAGTTCAAAACAAACCCACACTCCGGTACTCAACACACATGCGCGCGAGAAGAACAAAAGGGATTGATTGCCGGGTGCCACGTGACTATATAGAGTCACGTGGGTCCCCGGCAGGTCACAGCTGACTTTGTTGTCATTAATACTCGACCTGCGCATGCGCAAGAATGATCATTCAGTGCTTGAAGCACCGCCTCTGGCGGTCAGTAGGGATGAAATAGAACTTTGAATCAATCTGACTGGATGATCTGGTGAACTGGAAAGTGACCTGAGATGACATGATGTGAATTGGAGCTATAGAAATAAACTGAACAGACAGTCATAAATGATATTGATGAGGATGATCATCATCATGATAATAATGATAGTGATGATGATGATAATGATAATAGTGATTAGTGATAGTATCTCATTCTGACATTGCTACCAGTGTGTGCAAGCAGGGATGATTACTATTATTTCTATGACTCACAGGGTCAATGGCTGATGAAGATGTTTATGATCATTTTAATGATGATGATGATAATGACGATGATGATGTTAATCATGATGATGATGATGATGATGATGATGATGTCACCCTGTGCTGCAGGTGTCTAGCCTGTGTCAGCTCCTCCTGGAGCTGTAACTGGTGTCCTCTGGATCAGCTGTGCACTCACACCTATAGCTGCCCCAGCAAGAACCTGATCCAGAACCAGAAGGTCTGTCCGCTGATAACCATCGATCGTTCTCAGTCTGTCCACCTGTTTGACTGTCTTCTGGTCTTCATCTCTACAGGACTCTCCTGGTCCCAGCTCCTGCCCTCTGGTCTTCTCACTTAGAACTTCTGCTCTAGTGCCAATGGGCTTTAACACCACTGTTGTGTTGGAGGGTCGGAACCTAGATGTCTTCATGGTGAGACTGTTTTTAAATAAAACCCCCTCAGCTCCCCAGCTGACTAAACGTCAACCTGTAAGGAGAACTACTGATACCAACATCTCAAGTTCTCCCTGAATCTGTTTAAATCTTCAGGACGAAGCTCCGTATGTGTGTGTTGTTGAAGTTGAGGACGTGCAGTTTAACCTGACAGCTGCTGTGCAGAAAACAGAGGACGGCACCAACATCTTCACCTGCAGCTCCCAGCAGGTAAACACACCTGCTGGCTGAAAAGGTTCCCACAGCCTTCAAGTCACTGAAGCTGCTCTCTGTGTCATTAGTTTCAGTTTGGCCTCAGTCAGCTGCAGTACTCTGCTGCCATCTACCTGCGCAGAGGACAGAGACGCATCGACGCATCACCTGGACTCAGACGTAAGAAACTCACCTGTTTCCCTCTGCGTGTTGAAGTAGCCCAGTATCAGACCCCCAGGGTCCAGTTCCAGACCAGTAACAGACCTTAAGGCTCCAGTTCCAGACCAGTAACGAACCTTCAGGGTCCAGTTCCAGACCAGTAACGGACCTTCAGGCTCCAGTTCCAGACCAGTAACGACCTTCAGGCTCCAGTTCCAGACCAGTAACAGACCCTCAGGCTCCAGTTCCAGACCAGTAACAGACCTTCAGGCTCCAGTTCCAGACCAGTAACGGACCTTCAGGCTCCAGTTCCAGACCAGTAACAGACCTTCAGGCTCCAGTTCCAGACCAGTAACAGACCTTCAGGCTCCAGTTCCAGACCAGTAACAGACCTTCAGGCTCCAGTTCCAGACCAGTAACGACCTTCAGGCTCCAGTTCCAGACCAGTAACAGACCTTCAGGCTCCAGTTCCAGACCAGTAACAGACCATCAGGCTCCAGTTCCAGACCAGTAACAGACCTTCAGGCTCCAGTTCCAGACCAGTAACGGACCCTCAGGCTCCAGTTCCAGACCAGTAACGGACCTTCAGGCTCCAGTTCCAGACCAGTAACGGACCCTCAGGCTCCAGTTCCAGACCAGTAACGGACCCTCAGGCTCCAGTTCCAGACCAGTAACAGACCTTCAGGGTCCAGTTCCAGACCAGTAACAGACCCTCAGGGTCCAGTTCCAGACCAGTAACAGACCCTCAGGCTCCAGTTCCAGACCAGTAACGGACCCTCAGGCTCCAGTTCCAGACCAGTAACAGAACATCAGGGTCCAGTTCCAGTCCAGTAACGGAACATCAGGCTCCAGTTCCAGACCAGTAACGGAACATCAGGGTCCAGTTCCAGACCAGTAACGGACCCTCAGGCCCCAGTTCCAGACCAGTAACAGACCCTCAGGCTCCAGTTCCAGACCAGTAACGGAACATTAGGGTCCAGTTCCAGACCAGTAACGGACCCTCAGGCTCCAGTAACAGACAATCAGGCTCCAGTTCCAGACCAGTAACAGACCCTCAGGCTCCAGTTCCAGACCAGTAACGGACCCTCAGGCCCCAGTTCCAGACCAGTAACGGACCCTCAGGCTCCAGTTCCAGACCAGTAACGGAACATCAGGCTCCAGTAACAGACCATCATAGTCCAGTTCCAGACCAGTAACAGACCCTCAGGCTTCAGTTCCAGACCAGTAATGGACCCTCAGGCCCCAGTTCCAGACCAGTAACGGACCCTCAGGCTCCAGTTCCAGACCAGTAACGGAACATCAGGCTCCAGTAACAGACCATCATAGTCCAGTTCCAGACCAGTAACAGACCCTCAGGCTTCAGTTCCAGACCAGTAACGGACCCTCAGGCTCCAGTAACAGACAATCAGGCTCCAGTTCCAGACCAGTAACAGACCCTCAGGCTCCAGTTCCAGACCAGTAACGGACCCTCAGGCCCCAGTTCCAGACCAGTAACGGACCCTCAGGCTCCAGTTCCAGACCAGTAACGGAACATCAGGCTCCAGTAACAGACCATCATAGTCCAGTTCCAGACCAGTAACAGACCCTCAGGCTTCAGTTCCAGACCAGTAATGGACCCTCAGGCCCCAGTTCCAGACCAGTAACAGACCCTCAGGCTCCAGTTCCAGACCAGTAACGGACCCTCAGGCTCCAGTTCCAGACCAGTAACAGAACATCAGGGTCCAGTTCCAGTCCAGTAACGGAACATCAGGCTCCAGTTCCAGACCAGTAACGGACCCTCAGGCTCCAGTAATAGACCATCAGGCTCCAGTTCCACACCAGTAACAGACCTTCAGGCTCCAGTTCCAGACCAGTAACAGACCTTCAGGCTCCAGTTCCAGACCAGTAACAGACCTTCAGGGTCCAGTTAAAGACCAGTAACGGACCTTCAGGCTCCAGTTCCAGACCAGTAACAGACCTTCAGGCTCCAGTTCCAGACCAGTAACAGACCTTCAGGGTCCAGTTCCAGACCAGTAACAGACCATCAGGCTCCAGTTCCAGACCAGTAACAGACCATCAGGCTCCAGTTCCAGACCAGTAACAGACCATCAGGCTCCAGTTCCAGACCACTAACGGACCCTCAGGCTCCAGTTAAAGACCAGTAACTGACCTTCAGGCTCCAGTTCCAGACCAGTAACAGACCATCAGGCTCCAGTTCCAGACCAGTAACAGACCATCAGGCTCCAGTTCCAGACCAGTAACAGACCATCAGGCTCCAGTTCCAGACCAGTAACGGACCTTCAGGCTCCAGTTCCAGACCAGTAACAGACCTTCAGGCTCCAGTTCCAGACCAGTAACAGACCATCAGGCTCCAGTTCCAGACCAGTAACAGACCATCAGGCTCCAGTTCCAGACCACTAACGGACCCTCAGGCTCCAGTTAAAGACCAGTAACTGACCTTCAGGCTCCAGTTCCAGACCAGTAACAGACCATCAGGCTCCAGTTCCAGACCAGTAACAGACCATCAGGCTCCAGTTCCAGACCAGTAACAGACCATCAGGCTCCAGTTCCAGACCAGTAACGGACCTTCAGGCTCCAGTTCCAGACCAGTAACAGACCCTCAGGCTCCAGCATGTTGACCATTTCTCCTTCTGTCCCCTCAGTCCATCTGTACGACTGCTCAGCCGGCCAATCAGATTGCTCGCAGTGCAAGGCAGTGCCTAAGGAATACGGCTGTGTTTGGTGTCCAGGAAGTCCCGCCCCATGCTGTGTGTACAGCCAATCATGCTCTAGCTCACCCTCAGACACCTGTCCCTCTCCTCAGATCACACAGGTGAGCTCTGCCGTCCCATTGACAGGCTGCACATGTCCTGTTACCGTGGAAACATGTAACATGTCTGTCTCCAGGTGTTCCCTGTGTCCGGGCCTTTGGAGGGTGGAATCCTGGTGACAATCACAGGGTCCAACCTGGGCACCCGGTATCAGGATGTGTTGGGCGGAGTTAAGGTGGCAGACATCCCGTGTTTGGCACAACCCGGAGGATACCGGATCTCCACCAGGTAACCTTCTCTGTACTCAACCTCTGATTGTTGAAATAACACCTAATCCAATCAAAGGTCAATGTTTTAGGTAACACGGATGTTGAGTCATTTTCCTGTCTGTACCTTCCGATGCACCCCTTCACCTGTGCTGACCCATTCACCTGTCTTAGGGTTGTGTGTGAGCTGCAGCGCAGTGGGAAGAATAGGGTCGGGCCTGTTCAGGTTACCGTGGGAACAACTTCACCCGGCCGGTCGGCGCAGATGTTCACCTATCAGGTAAGACTTCACCTCCAGAGGCTGAACCCGATCCGTTCGGAGCCCAGTTACTCAAGAAAAGATTACGTCCAACTCAGCGAACTTTCTGCCAACTACAGTTCTGACCCGCTCAGCTAGTCGGACCCATTTAAAAAAGGTTCTGCTGTTTTTGTTCCCCCAACAAGGACCCTCAGCTCACCAGTCTGGTTCCAGATAAAGGTCCAGTTTCTGGAGGAACCAAGCTGACCATCAAGGGACGACAGCTGATGACAGGACAGAAGTCAGACCTGACCGCTTTTCTGGGTCAACAGCCTTGTTACATGTAAGTCCCGGTCCGGTTCTATTGCATCTTATAGTACTCTACTGGTTCTAATGCCACAGACAATGCCACCGTTATTAGGCTGTAATGACAGGACTGACCCAGGTCTTCTGGTCCTGATAGCACTGACCTGGTCTTTCTAGTCCTGATAGCACTGACCCGGTCTTTCTTGTCCTGATAGCACTGACCCAGGTCTTCTAGTCCTGATAGCACTGACCCAGGTCTTCTAGTCATGATAGCACTGAACCAGGTCTTTCTGGTCCTGATAGCACTGACCCGGTCTTTCTTGTCCTGATAGCACTGACCCAGGTCTTCTAGTCCTGATAGCACTGACCCGGTCTTTCTAGTCCTGATAGCACTGACCCAGTTCTTCTAGTCATGATAGCACTGATCCAGGTCTTCTGATCCTGATAGCACTGACCTGGTTCTTCTAGTCATGATAGCACTGACCCAGGTCTTTCTGGTCCTGATAGCACTGACCCGGTCTTTCTTGTCCTGATAGCACTGACCCAGGTCTTCTAGTCCTGATAGCACTGACCCGGTCTTTCTAGTCCTGATAGCACTGACCCAGTTCTTCTAGTCATGATAGCACTGATCCAGGTCTTCTGATCCTGATAGCACTGACCTGGTTCTTCTAGTCATGATAGCACTGACCCAGGTCATCTGGTCCTGATAGCACTGACCCAGGTCTTTTGGTCATGATAGCACTGACCCAGGTCTTCTGATCCTGATAGCACTGACCTGGTTCTTCTAGTCATGATAGCACTGACCCAGGTCATCTGGTCCTGATAGCACTGACCCAGGTCTTCTGATCCTGATAGCACTGACCCAGGTCTATTGGTCATGATAGCACTGACCCAGGTCTTCTGATCCTGATAGCACTGACCTGGTTCTTCTAGTCATGATAGCACTGACCCAGGTCATCTGGTCCTGATAGCACTGACCCAGGTCTTTCTAGTCCTGATAGCACTGACCCAGTTCTTCTAGTCATGATAGAACTGATCCAGGTCTTCTGATCCTGATAGCACTGACCTGGGTCTTCTAGTCATGATAGCACTGACCCAGGTCATCTGGTCCTGATAGCACTGACCCAGGTCTTCTGATCCTGATAGCAATGACCTGGTTCTGCTGTTGCCGGGGGAACAGGCCCACACTGCAGCTTGTATACAGTTCAGGTTGTGTGTCCCTCCATCTTAAATGTCTTCTTGTCTCCTGTCCTCCTAGTTTGAATGAGGTGACTGATTCCCATTTTGTGTGCAAGACCGGTTCCAGTAATCAGACTGGTGCAGTTCCAGTTCAGGTTTTCTTCGGTAAGGCTGAGCGGACTGGTCCCGACCTTACCTTCCGTTACCTGGACGACCCGGTCATTACCAAGGCTACACCTGCAGAGAGCTTCTATGCGTAAGGACCGACCTCTGAGCGTTGACACCCTTTGGCCTTATAGCCACGTTTCCTAATAAGGGGTTGACTTCCGGTCCTCAGAGGGGGGCGTGTCATTAAGGTGACAGGCAGGAACCTGGACGTGGTGCAGGAACCAGCCATATCAGTGTGGGTGGAGCCTCTGGAGGTTCAGAGGGTTAAGCGAAGAAGACGATTTGCTCTCTTGACCGCCAAGCAGCAACTGGTTTTTAATGGCACCATGGCAACGGTGAGATGATTCGACCAATCAGAACCATATCCCTGACTTACCTGTTCTAACCTGTGTGCTCCCCTGTCCACCTCTCAGGTGACTGAGCGCTGCTCGGTCCTGTCCTCCTCAGAGATCACATGCAGGACGCCGGCAGTGAGCCCAGAGTTCAGAGTGAAAGGGGTCTGGTTTCAGCTGGACAACGTCAGGGTCCACTTCAACAGCATTGAGGTACCTTCATGTTTACCCACCCTCTCAACCAACAGCGTGAAGCCCTGGGCAGGGAGCAGCCTCTTTGTCTCTAACCTGTCCCCCTCCATCTGTCTCTGTCCACCAGGGTAAGACATTCAGATATCTTCCGAACCCTCAACTCTTCCCTCTGAACCGAGAGGCTCCGGATGCTCCGTACCGCTTCAAACCTGGTGGAGTGATCGCCGTAGAGGTACAGTAACACTCATAGCCTGGTCCGATGGACACAGCAGGTGGTCATGTGTTATGATGTCATGGCATCCCTCAGGGTCAGGACCTGACCAAAGCTATGACCAAGGATGAAGTCCAGGCTCGCCTTGGAGAACAAGGCTGTGAGGTGAAAACTCTGGACAGGACTCACCTGTACTGCGAACCGCCTGAGACTCAGCCTCTGAGCGTGGACGGCAGCAACGAGCTTCCCAGTCTGAAGGTAATGAAAGCAAAGATCAACATCTATAAAGAAAACCAAGAACCTCTTGTGGCCCTTTGGGCAGCAGTAGGAACTCTCAGCAGTGGTGTTCTGACTGATCCGTCGGTCTGTCGCTTGGTGTTGCACGAATTTGTTACTTTAGCTCATAGACGCTCCTGCTCAGCTCCCGGAAAGGCTCACCACAACATTCTAATTAGGTTGAGATCTGAGCTTTGACTGAGCCGATGATGCTTTTTGTCTTTTTCAGCCATTCTGTTGCAAATTGACTTCTGTCTGGGATCATTGTTCTGTTGATGGCTCAGTTAAAACCAGCCGTCAGCTGCTGGATAGCTGGACTCTAAAACACTTGGTGTAAAATTTAAGCATCAGACGTCCACATTGGTTCAACATGTCAGTCCTGACCAGGGTTGCCAACTGTCTCTTGAAAAACTGAGTCTTTCCATATTTATTAATCGAAGTACCTGTCCCGTATGTAGTGGAAAAGTAAAGCACTTTGTCCCGTTACTGTGAGAGTAAAAAAAATAGTTAGTAAAAAGCTAATGGAAACAAAGAACAAGGGCACGTTGGATACAAAACTTACGGTAAACTTGTTCCCGGGCCCTTTCCTGCGTTGTGACCAAAGAGCTGACAACATAAATGTAATGATCCAGAATCCCCTCATCCCATTGGTCAATTCAAGTGTTGCCCAGGGAGAAGAGAGCGAGATACAACAGAGGAGTATGGGGGACGAACTGAGGAATTTAAATGCTAAAGGATGTGGAACTGCAAATAGTCTTCTAGAGCACCTCACTCAGGAAAAGGAATCCTGGCAGTCCAAAGGACCAACAGAGAGGTGGATGGAGGTTCTTCAGGCAGCTGGCCCCACAACATCCAAGCTGCTGTGTCTTTTGTCCTCAGCATCCCATCTTCAACTGGTTTTGTGGAGGATTTTACGGTGGCCCTGAAGTGCAAACTGCAACTACAAATCTAAAAGCGCAACTACATTAAGGAAATCGCAACTACATAAAGCAAAGCGCAACTACATTAAGGAAAACACAACTACATTAACCTACTGGAAAAGGTAGGTACCAGTGGGAAACATGAGACATCGCTGATTGGACGACGGCGCCGTTTGATCCTTGAACCGGAAGTCATTCTGCCTGCTGTGGCTTTTGAAAACATGGATATTGTCGGCGCCCCAAACATAGCTGCCATTATCCAGGAATATTTTGAATCAGGACATACGTCCGAGGTGATACTGGATATGCTCAAGAATAATCACCAAATTTCAGTTAGTTTGCGTACACTGAAGACACACTTAAAAGAAGCTGGACTGTTCAGACGACGCAACTTCCGGTTCAAGGGTCAAACGGCGCCGTCGTCCAATCAGCGATGTCTCATGCTTCCCACTGGTACCTACCTTTTCCGGTAGGTTAATGTAATTGTGTTTTCCTTTATGTAGTTGCGCTTTTAGATTTGAAGTTGCAGTTTGCACTTCAGGGCCACCGTAGGATTTTCTCCTCAATGAAGAACAAATGGACTGATGTGCAGAACAAATGTTCCACTCAATGAATTGAAGCTGAGCTCATTGTCAGCCTCAATCATGAACTGTCCGTTCAGAGTTTTACTCTGCAGCTCTGAAAGACAAACAAATTCTCACTGCTGCAAGAGGAAATACAAGTGGAAAAAGCAGGCTATCACCACATAATGTGGCATTGAGCTAACCATTTTTTGTTTTTGTTTTATAACTGTAGCCTACAGTCATTGCAGGAAAGGCACAAATATGTTTGAAAGTTTGCTGTTGCACCAAAAATGTGCACTATTTATTGCTTTAAATTCATTTTTACAGTTTGACATTAAGTAGGACAGACTTATGTTTAAGATACATATTTTATCCAGCAAATTTATTTGTATTAAAGTGAATTGCTGGATAATATTTTTTTTCCATGTGTTCATGTCACTCACAAATATGCATCTAATTCAATGCAGATTTGAGTCAAATAGTTAAAAAAAAGTCTTCCTACCCTCATATCTAACAACTGTTTCTCAGGTGTTTATGGGGAACCTGAAGGTGGACCTGGGACTGGTTCAGTACGACAGTGACTCGTTACTATCCCCCATCCCATTGGCTGCTCAAATCGGTCTTGGCGCTGGAGCTGCTGTCATCATTCTGTCGGTGCTGGTTGTCATTCTTATGTACAGGTAATCATCTGTCTGTTCCAGGGTTCTGTAGAACCAGGATAACTGTTGGTTACTGATTAGAGTTCCACTTGTTTCTATGCAGGAGGAAAAGTAAACAGGCACTCAGAGATTATAAGAAAGTTCTGCTGCAGCTGGAAACTCTGGAGATCAATGTGGGAGACCAATGCCGTAAAGAGTTCACAGGTAAGCAGGTGATGGAGACTCTGACCCACCTGCTGTTCTCCTGATCTCACTGTCCTTCTCCACATCCTGTAGACCTCATGACGGAAATGATGGATCTTAGCAGTGATGTGGGAGGACCTGGTCTCCCTCTGCTGGACTACAAGACGTATGCAGATAGGATCTTTTTTCCTGGACAGCAGACGGCGCTGCTGAGCCACCAACTGGACCTGCCGGAGTCCAGAAGACAGACTGTAGAGCAGGGCCTTCAGCAGCTCAACAACCTGCTCAACAACAGACTCTTCCTTACCAGGGTGGGTTCTGTTCAGGTGCTGTCTGGGCTCAGGTTTAGCAGCAGGTAAATCTAACACTGTAGTTCTGTTCCTTCCAGTTCATTCACACCCTGGAAGCCCAGCAGGGGTTCTCTCAGAGGGACCGCGGCTACGTGGCCAGTCTGCTCACCATAGCTCTCCATGATAAGCTGGAGTACTTCACTGAAGTCATGAAGACTTTGCTGCAGGACCTGGTGCAGCAGTATGTGGCCAAAAATCCCAAACTCATGCTGCGCCGGTACGTAAAACAAACACACCTTCAGATGAACGATGAATGTTTTCTTGATTAAACCAGACCTGCTGTCCAAGGGAGACCTGAGCAGATGTCCTGGGTTTAGGGACATGGTATCCATGACAACCCAGAGTTTGAATCTTTTGGTTTTTGGAGGGGAGAGGCCCGATCAGAACCAGATGACCTGATTAACCCCAGAGCGTTCGTCCTGAACCGGGACTAAACTGTGTCTCTTGCTGTCTTTCAGGACAGAGACAGTTGTTGAGAAGATGTTGACCAACTGGATGTCCATCTGTCTCTATTCCTTCCTGAAGGTAACGCTATTTGTTCTGTCTATTCTGTCTATACCCGTCTGCCCCCTCACTCCTTTTCTCTCCCCCACCTGTCTGTCTTTCACTGTCTCTCCCCCTGTCTCACCTATACCTGTCTGTCTTTCACTGTCTCTCCTACTGTCTCACCTATACCTGTCTGTCTTTCAGTGTCTCTCTCCCACTGTCTCACCTTTACCTGTCTGTCTTTCACTGTCTCTCCTACTGTCTCACCTATACCTGTCTGTCTTTCAGTGTCTCTCTCCCACTGTCTCACCTTTACCTGTCTGTCTTTCACTGTCTCTCCTACTGTCTCACCTATACCTGTCTGTCTTTCAGTGTCTCTCTCCCACTGTCTCACCTTTACCTGTCTGTCTTTCACTGTCTCTCCTACTGTCTCACCTATACCTGTCTGTCTTTCAGTGTCTCTCTCCCACTGTCTCACCTATACCTGTCTGTCTTTCACTGTCTCTCCTACAGTCTCACCTTTACCTGTCTGTCTTTCACTGTCTCTCCTACTGTCTCACCTATACCTGTCTGTCTTTCAGTGTCTCTCTCCCACTGTCTCACCTATATCTGTCTGTCTTTCACTGTCTCTCCTACAGTCTCACCTTCACCTGGCTGTCTTTCACTGTCTCTCCCCCTGTCTCACCTTCACCTGTCTGTCTTTCACTGTCTCTGCCCCGTCTCACCTTCACCTGTCTGTCTTTCACTGTCTCTCCCCCGTCTCACCTTCACCTGTCTGTCTTTCACTGTCTCTCCCCCTATCTCTACTATACCTGTCTGTCTTTCACTGTCTCTGCCCCGTCTAACCTTCACCTGTTTGTCTTTCACTGTCTCTCCCCCGTCTCACCTTCACCTGTCTGTCTTTCACTATCTCTCCCTCTGTCTCACCTTCACCTCTGTGTCTTTCACTATCTCTCCCTCTGTCTCACCTTCACCTCTGTGTCTTTCACTATCTCTCCCTCTGTCTCACCTTCACCTGTCTGTCTTTCACTGTCTCTCCCCCGTCTCACCTATACCTGTCTGTCTTTCACTGTCTCTCCCCCGTCTCACCTTCACCTGTCTGTCTTTCATTATCTCTCCCTCTGTCTCACCTTCACCTCTCTGTCTTTCACTATCTCTCCCTCTGTCTCACCTATACCTGTCTGTCTTTCACTGTCTCTCCCCCGTCTCACCTATACCTGTCTGTCTTTCACTGTCTCTCCCCCGTCTCACCTACACCTGTCTGTCTTTCACTGTCTCTCCCCCGTCTCACCTTCACCTGTCTGTCCTTCACTGTCTCTCCCCCGTCTCACCTATACCTGTCTGTCTTTCACTGTCTCTCCCCCGTCTCACCTTCACCTGTCTGTCTTTCATTATCTCTCCCTCTGTCTCACCTTCACCTCTCTGTCTTTCACTATCTCTCCCTCTGTCTCACCTATACCTGTCTGTCTTTCACTGTCTCTCCCCCGTCTCACCTATACCTGTCTGTCTTTCACTGTCTCTCCCCCGTCTCACCTACACCTGTCTGTCTTTCACTGTCTCTCCCCCGTCTCACCTTCACCTGTCTGTCCTTCACTGTCTCTCCTCCAGTCTCACCTTCACCTGTCTGTCTTTCACTGTCTCTCCCCCTATCTCTACTATACCTGTCTGTCTTTCACTGTCTCTGCCCCGTCTAACCTTCACCTGTTTGTCTTTCACTGTCTCTCCCCCGTCTCACCTTCACCTGTCTGTCTTTCACTATCTCTCCCTCTGTCTCACCTTCACCTCTGTGTCTTTCACTATCTCTCCCTCTGTCTCACCTTCACCTGTCTGTCTTTCACTGTCTCTCCCCCGTCTCACCTATACCTGTCTGTCTTTCACTGTCTCTCCCCCGTCTCACCTTCACCTGTCTGTCTTTCATTATCTCTCCCTCTGTCTCACCTTCACCTCTCTGTCTTTCACTATCTCTCCCTCTGTCTCACCTATACCTGTCTGTCTTTCACTGTCTCTCCCCCGTCTCACCTATACCTGTCTGTCTTTCACTGTCTCTCCCCCGTCTCACCTACACCTGTCTGTCTTTCACTGTCTCTCCCCCGTCTCACCTTCACCTGTCTGTCCTTCACTGTCTCTCCCCCGTCTCACCTATACCTGTCTGTCTTTCACTGTCTCTCCCCCGTCTCACCTTCACCTGTCTGTCTTTCATTATCTCTCCCTCTGTCTCACCTTCACCTCTCTGTCTTTCACTATCTCTCCCTCTGTCTCACCTATACCTGTCTGTCTTTCACTGTCTCTCCCCCGTCTCACCTATACCTGTCTGTCTTTCACTGTCTCTCCCCCGTCTCACCTACACCTGTCTGTCTTTCACTGTCTCTCCCCCGTCTCACCTTCACCTGTCTGTCCTTCACTGTCTCTCCTCCAGTCTCACCTATACCTGTCTGTCTTTCACTGTCTCTCCCCCTGTCTTACCTTCACCTGTCTGTCTGCCAGGAGGTGGCAGGGGAGCCTCTCTACATGCTCTATAGAGCTATAAAGTATCAGGTGGACAAGGGGCCGGTGGATGCTGTGACTGGAAAGGCCAAACGGACCCTTAATGACAGCCACCTACTGCGGGAGGACATCGATTACTCTGCCATGGTAACCATAGCAACACCACTTCTTCCTATGTTCCTCATCAGTTTGGCCTGTCACCCATCTGTCTCACCTCATTCTCAGACTCTGAACGTCCTGGTGAAGAACGGAGTTGAGGTCCAGCCATGTCCTGTTAAAGTACTTGATACCGACACCATCACACAGGTGCGTAGATGCCCCACCAGCTGTTTTTCACCCCGTGGTCTTATTCACACCTGTCAATGAATGTCTGGGTGCAGGTAAAAGATAAAATCCTGGATCAGGTCTACAGAGGAGCTCCGTTCTCTCAGCGACCAGCAGCTGACAGTCTGGACCTGGGTAGGCATCTGTCCATCTCCCCCGAATGTCTCACCAGTCTCTGTCTTCAGCCAGACAGCTTGTTTTCACCTGCATACATTTGCCTGCAGAGTGGCGTTCTGGTCAGGCCGGCCACCTGACTCTTTCTGATGATGATGTCACAGCAGTTGTTCATGGTCGCTGGAAACGGCTCAACACGCTGCAGCACTACAAGGTGGGAAACAATCAATAGCTGCATGTCTGCATCTGCCCTACGCTGCAGCTCAATCTGGTCTCATGTTCTCTGTTCTTCAGGTTCCGGTTGGAGCCACAGTCGCTCTGATCCCTCGATTTCACAGTTCAGGAATCAACCAGGTGTTTCAGACCGGAGAAAGTAAGAACCCAAACATCTTACAAAGAAGAATCCCACAAAACAAGAAGAATCAGCTGATATCAGACTAAATCATAGAACAGGGGAACCATAGAGACGATCTGGACCAAAGAACAGGGAGAACTATAGAGACCGATCTGGACCAAAGAACAGGGAGAACTATTGAGAACTATCTGGACCAAAGAACAGGGGAACTATAGAGAACGATCTGGACCAAAGAACAGGGAGAACTATAGAGAACTATCTGGAATAAAGAACAGGGAGAACTATTGAGAACTATCTGGAATAAAGAACTGGGAGAACTATAGAGAACCATCTGGACCAAAGAACAGGGGAATTATAGAGACCGATCTGGAATAAAGAACAGTGAGAACTATAGAGACCGATCTGGACCAAAGAACAGGGAGAACTATAGAGAACAACTGGACCAAAGAACAGGGGAATTATAGAGAACGATCTGGACCAAAGAACAGGGGAACTATAGAGAGCGATCTGGACCAAAGAACAGGGAGAAATATAGAGAACTATCTGGAATAAAGAACAGGGAGAACTATAGAGAACGATCTGGAATAAAGAACAGGGAGAACTATAGAGAACTATCTGGAATAAAGAACAGGGAGAACTATAGAGAACGATCTGGACCAAAGAACAGGGGAACTATAGAGACCGATCTGGACCAAAGAACAGGAAGAACTATAGAGAACTATCTGGAAGAAAGAACAGGGAGAACTATAGAGAATGATCTGGACCAAAGAACAGGGAGAACTATAGAGAACTATCTGGAATAAAGAACAGGGAGAACTATAGAGAACGATCTGGACCAAAGAACAGGGAGAACTATAGAGAACTATCTGGAATAAAGAACAGGGAGAACTATAGAGAACTATCTGGAATAAAGAACTGGGAGAACTATAGAGAACCATCTGGACCAAAGAACAGGGGAATTATAGAGAACGATCTGGACCAAAGAACAGGGGAACTATAGAGACCGATCTGGAATAAAGAACAGGGAGAACTATAGAGACCGATCTGGACCAAAGAACAGGGAGAACTATAGAGAACAACTGGACCAAAGAACAGGGAGAAACAGTTAGTAGTACATTTGGAGGTAACAGCTTAGTCATTTGTTGTTTTAGCTGTGAGTGTTGACTTAAAACCTCTCTTGTCGCCTTAGAGGCACCAATGCTGGAGGGCGAGGAAGAGGAGGGTCTGCGTCTGTGGCACCTGGTGAAGAGCAGCGAAGATCCAGAAATGCCAAAGCACCGGAAGAGCAGCATGAGGGAACGGGAGAGAGCCAAGGCCATTCCTGAGATCTATCTGACCAGACTGCTGTCCATGAAGGTACCCCTGACCTTCAGCCCCACCCCCACCTCACACACACAGGACTTTACCAGAGCCTCTCATTAACTGTCCTTTTGTCTCTGTAGGGGACACTGCAGAAGTTTGTGGACGACGTCTTTGTGGCCATCCTTAGCACTAAGCGTCCTCCACCCATTGCTGTCAGGTTTTTCTTTGATTTTCTTGACGACATGGCTGAGAAGCATGCAATAGACGATCCAGAGACTGTCCACATCTGGAAGACAAACAGGTGAGACCCACCTCACTCACCTGAGGCTCCCCAAATGCTTGCCTTCACCCAACTTTCTGCGTCCAATGCGCTCCGTCTTGCTAGTCCTTGATGGGCTTCTTTGACCCTTGTCCCTGACCTGTCTTTCTGACCCTTTTTGTCCCCAGTCTCCCTCTAAGGTTTTGGGTCAACATTCTGAAGAACCCACAGTTTGTTCTGGATGTCCAAGTAACTGACAGCATCGACGCCGTGCTCTCTGTGATCGCTCAGACCTTCATCGACTCATGCACCACCTCGGAACATAAAGTGGGACGGGTAGGACCTGTCTCTCTCTATACTTCACCTACTGGTCTGGGTTCTCTGGTCATTTCACACCTGTGTCTTTTTGTCCAATCAGGACTCTCCAGTCAACAAGCTGCTCTATGCCAGAGAAATACCTCGGTACAAACAACTGGTGGAGAGGTGAGACGGCTTCCTGTCATTGGTTCTGGTGCAGTTTATTCTCAGTGTCACCACCTGCTGGTTAATCCGGACCCAACCTGATTTAAAACATTTATAAATTACCGCATGTTGTCTGACACAGTGTCTAACGTCACTTGCGCCGCTTCTGTTACCCTGAAATCCCTCATGCTCCATCCTCCGCTCTGCCCCGCAGCGTTCCAGACCTCCTGCCCAAAGCAAAGCCTACAGCCTCCGCTGTTCCTCCCGTATTGCTGAGCTCCGACTTATCCTCGGAGCTCGAGGAGAGCATGCGCGATATTATTATTAAACCGGATCTTCTCGCCGTTCTTTCTCCCGTTTGGTGCGATTGCGATAGCGGATCCTGACCTGGCCGGACCGGAGCGGAGCCTGAACATTTAAAGGATGTTTGGCTCAACCTGCTGCTGGGAAGCAGGATTCTCCACCATGAACAGAATCAACAATAAATCTGGATCCAGGCTCAAAATGAGCACCTTGATATGTGCTTGAGAATGGCTTAGTCTCCATTCAAACCCAGGTTTAAAGCCTTGCAGGGCAGCCTAAAGCCCACTGCCAACATTAAGACAGAAAAAAGAAAGAAAAAAACAAACCATCAGTTCAGTTGTTGAATATATAAAAAAATATGTGAATCAGGAAATTGTCTATATACCAAACTGAACGATTGTTCTCTACTTTTAATTTTAATATGGACATTTTTTTTTTCATTTGTTTTTAATATTTTTGTATTTAAAAATTCACTGTATAACATGGATGCATAAACATCTCATTTTATTTCATTGTTAAATTCTGTTTAACGTAATATATATATTTTTGATTAAAAATCTCCGGACCTTAACTGGTTGATGTTTTTCTTTATTCAGACCCGCTGATTTTTAGTTGTTTATCCCTGCTGTAGAGACTTCCTGAGGTTGTTCTGTATGTGTTTGTAGGTACTACAGTGATATCCACAGCGCCGCATCAGGATGCTATCAGGAGATGAACTCTACTCTGACTGAACTTTCCGGGGTAAAATGACCCAAAACCAGAACGACTTCAATCTACCCATCAGTCTTTATTCATCACGAATTCTCTGTCTGACTCTACCTGTCTCTCTGTCTCTGTCTGACCCTACCCGTCTCTCTGTCTCTGTCTGACCCTACCCGTCTCTCTGTCTCTGTCTGGCTCTACCTGTCTCTCTGTCTCTGTCTGGCTCTACCCGCCTCTCTGTCTCTGTCTGGCTCTACCTGTCTCTCTGTCTCTGTCTGGCTCTACCTGTCTCTCTGTCTCTGTCTGACCCTACCCGTCTCTCTGTCTCTGTCTGACCCTACCCGTCTCTCTGTCTCTGTCTGGCTCTACCTGTCTCTCTGTCTCTCTCTCTCTGTCTCTGTTTGACCCTACCCGTCTCTCTGTCTCTCTCTCTCTGTCTCTGTTTGACCCTACCTGTCTCTCTGTCTCTGTCTGACCCTACCCGTCTCTCTGTCTCTGTCTGGCTCTACCTGTCTCTCTGTCTCTGTCTGGCTCTACCTGTCTCTCTGTCTCTGTCTGACCCTACCCGTCTCTCTGTCTCTGTCTGACCCTACCCGTCTCTCTGTCTCTGTCTGGCTCTACCTGTCTCTCTGTCTCTGTCTGACCCTACCCGTCTCTCTGTCTCTGTCTGGCTCTACCTGTCTCTCTGTCTCTGTCTGGCTCTACCTGTCTCTCTGTCTCTGTCTGACCCTACCCGTCTCTCTGTCTCTGTCTGGCTCTACCTGTCTCTCTGTCTCTGTCTGGCTCTACCTGTCTCTCTGTCTCTGTCTGACCCTACCCGTCTCTCTGTCTCTGTCTGACCCTACCCGTCTCTCTGTCTCTGTCTGACCCTACCCGTCTCTCTGTCTCTGTCTGACCCTACCTGTCTCTCTGTCTCTGTCTGGCTCTACCTGTCTCTCTGTCTCTGTCTGACCCTACCCGTCTCTCTGTCTCTACCCGTCTCTCTGTCTCTGTCTGAACCTACCTCGGTCTCTCTGTCTCTGTCTGACCCTACCTGTCTCTCTGTCTCTGTCTGGCTCTACCTGTCTCTCTGTCTCTGTCTGACCCTACCTGTCTCTCTGTCTCTGTCTGGTTCTATCTGTCTCTCTGTCTCTGTTTGACGCTACCCGTCTCTCTGTATCTCTCTCTGTCTCTGTTTGACCCTACCTGTCTCTCTGTCTCTGTCTGATCCTACCTGTCTCTCTGTCTCTGTCTGACCCTACCCGTCTCTCTGTCTCTCTCTCTCTGTCTCTGTTTGACCCTACCTGTCTCTCTGTCTCTGTCTGACCCTACCTGTCTCTCTGTCTCTCAGTCTGACCCTACCCGTCTCTCTGTCTCTGTCTGACCCTACCCGTCTCTCTGTCTCTGTCTGGCTCTACCTGTCTCTCTGTCTCTGTCTGACCCTACCTGTCTCTCTCTCTGTCTCTGTCTCTGTCTGGCTCTACCTGTCTCTCTGTCTCTGTCTGACCCTACCTGTCTCTCTGTCTCTGTTTGACGCTACCCGTCTCTCTGTCTCTCTCTCTGTCTCTGTTTGACCCTACCTGTCTCTCTGTCTCTGTCTGATCCTACCTGTCTCTCTGTCTCTGTCTGACCCTACCCGTCTCTCTGTCTCTCTCTCTCTGTCTCTGTTTGACCCTACCTGTCTCTCTGTCTCTGTCTGACCCTACCTGTCTCTCAGTCTGACCCTACCCGTCTCTCTGTCTCTCTCTCTCTGTCTCTGTTTGACCCTACCTGTCTCTCTGTCTCTGTCTGACCCTACCTGTCTCTCTGTCTCTCAGTCTGACCCTACCTGTCTCTCTGTCTCCCTGCAGAGCTTTGCCTCAGAGATGAACAGCCTTGTTGCTCTTCATGAACTTTACAAATACATCAACAAATACTATGACCAGGTAATGTTCTCACTTTCTCATGTCATGTGACCGGTCAACTGCACAGGTACAAACCATAGTTCACACTCACACGCCTCTATCCTCTCCTCAAACTGTTCACCTGTGACTTTAGATCATCATGTCCCTGGAGGAAGACACCTCTGGTCAGAAGATGCAGTTGGCCTATCGGCTGCAGCAGGTCGCCGCCCTGGTGGAGAATAAAGTCACCGACCTCTGACCTGTGAGTGCTGATGAAGAGGATGAGGAGACGGGGGCCAAAGCAGTGAAGCTGATTGGACACCCCTGTCTGTCTTTGTGTGAGGGACATCCAGTCTTTTTATAATGGGTCTTCCGGTTCCCCTGCACGGCAGCAGCTGCCAACTGACATCCCGACTAACGACAATCCAACCAACCAGATCAGGGAACATCGTCGTCACCTTCTGCCTTGCACTACGATTCCCAGTGTTCTCTGTTGTCTGAGTAAAAAAAAAGCACAACTTAAGTATTTTCTTCTGTATCTAAAGTGATGATTGACCTGCTGTTTTATATGTTTTTCTACTGAAGCCAGCAGATCGGACTCCAAACGGCGCATCATTCCCAGGCGCTTCTGGAAGTTTACTGAACGCAATAACAGAATCTGAATCAGGGCGTTTTCACCATGTTTCAGTGTGACTCCACTTTCCAACTGCTTGACGGCGTATTGCTCAGAAAGCTCGGGACTCCTGACCCGAAACAACACAACCTCCAGTTTGTTCCAGTAGTGCATCTAATCCAGCATAAAGTCTGAAACTAACACGTCTACTAACGAACTAGTGATGTTGGTTTAGTTTATAATCCAGATTAACACAGCTGGCACAACAGAACCAGACCCAATCAATTGGGTCCATTTCCAACATCACTGGATCTTACAGGACAGGAAGAGATGTGTTTTTTAGATAATGTGTGAGAAAGGAAACTCTGATATTCCCATACTCCGCACTGCGTGTGTGGTTTCAGTTTGGTCATGTGACCCGTACCAGGAAGTGGAGTCGCAGCTGGCGTGTTTCCAAAGCGTAGAGGCTCTGGAATAATCGAACCGATCAGAAACGAGAAACAATCAGAGATCCGTGTGAGTATTACTAACTTATTGTTTGTACAGACTATTTATATTTATTTATCCCAGCTGTGCCTTCGCTCTGCAGCTAGGGGGCAGCCTAATATGTCCCAGTGCATGATGGGAAGATGATTTGAACAGTTCAGGCCAACTCACCTGTGTCCTTCAGCAGGAAATCAGCCCAGGTCTGGTTCTTACTGGTTTTCACTGGTTTGTCCGGGTTCTGTCAGAGTCCTCTGGACCCTGTTGGATCCTGGAGGCCATCAGATCCTCCTGAGGAACCCTAACCCTGGACTCTTCTGTTGGGTCATCATGGAGGGGGGTCGATAAACAGAACCAATCAGATGGATTCTGATGGATTCCCGGTTATAGAACTGGACCGGAGTTCTGAACTCGGTTTTCTTTTTCTGCTGCTGATTAAATTTCTTCTTCAACTTTTGATGTTTGTGTTTTTTGGGCCTGTGTTCGACCCGTAGTCGTAGTTCTTTGCTCAAAGTAGCTTCTGCATGATGACGATGATGATGATGATGATGATGGTGCTTCTTCTTTTTCTGAACCTTCAATGTTTACTTTTTAAGAAAAGGGGCGGGGCTCTCATGACCTAATGAGTGCATGAAATAATGCTGAGCTCTGATTGGTGGAGCTGTTTTCTACTGAATACATTCATGGGGGGGGTGGGGGTGTATGGTTACAGTGAGCTTACTGTGTGTAAATGTGCCTGTAAATATCTGTGAGGAAGACCATGATGAAGATGAGTCCGTCTCAGATTTAAAATGTGCTTTTATTGTGAAGGGCCACGGATCAAACAGTTTGTATCATAAAAATAAAGCTCTTATTTTTAACCTTGTTTCTTTGTGCTGACTGCTTCTGCTGTCAGGGCCGATTCTAAGCTCACACTGTCGGGGGGCCCCCAGCCTTGAAGAGAAGAAAATATTTGTTTTTTGGTATCGTTTAATGAGGAAAAAGAGAGAAATAAAATGAATATTGAGTCAGACTGAAACAGCTTCTGTTTTAGCTCGACTTAAGAAAATATTATCTTTCATTTTAAAAAACTCAAAATCAAACTGAAAAAAACCCAACCTATATCATTAAAGAAAACTAGTAAAATTGACCTAAAGACCATATCTACAACTTTTTCAAACTGATTACTTGTTGAAGAATATTAAACCCATATAAGGTCTAGAAGAGGGGAACATTTAGGACATTTTGGGCCCCTGGCAAAGACAGGCATGGGCCCCTCTGAATAGAGAAGACAACACATAGAACAGCCCCGTTCTCCAGATAGAGAAATGTTAATAGAATAGACATCCATTATCTGTTCTAGGTTGTGTCCCTCTCTTCTTGTCCCTTTTCTTCTTGTTTTCCTCTCTATGTTTTGTACTCAGCTGACTTTTCATGCTGTCTCTAAAGGAATGAAAGATTTTTTCCAAGCACTAAGCTCACTTAGCTGATTGCTCCTTCCTGTGTTTCCAAAAAGGCCAAAGTAAATAACCCAGTCCTTCTTTTCACTGTAGACAAGCCGTGATCTGCTTCTCTGTTCTCCATTTTTCATTTGGATGAAATAATAGCTGCATGAATCATGACAGCAGACAAGATAGAGGAGAGCAGGAGGCGGGGTTACCAATCTACTCGCTCTGGAGAGCAGAGTTCGCTGCTTTTAGATGTTGTCTCCAAAGTCTCCAGTAGCAGAAAAAAGTCTCTAGATTTGGCGCTAGGAGCTTTTTAGAAATCAAAGCGCTAGAGGGGTCTGAAAAGTGGCTAAATATAGCGACTAAAGCATTGTGTAGCTTTGATTTGAATAAACATTTTTTTTATTAGTCATATCGCCACCAGCAGCTCAAAGTACTGAAAGTTATATTTTGGAGAACATTTAGAGCCTTTTCCTGTTTCATAGAGCTCACTTCCGGTCAGCCGGAGACCGCAGCATAGACGTAGATGCCTCATTGGACGCTGGTCGACACATAGATATCCATAATAAAGGCTAGATGTCTTACGGCGGAGTCTCAAACGTCATCACCGGCGGCCATCTTGCCTCAGGCAGGCTTTCTGTTGTGCTCTGTGGTACCTAATGTAAGGTGAGTGATCAGCACGAACACAAATACTCTTACCTCACTGAATTCTTGACGGATTTACAAACAGTTTGGTTTCTTACAAACATTATGAACGTGGCTATTATTCTTGATGCTTGAACATGTCGAAATTGCAGATTTTCTTGTCGAAAAATGACTTAATCATGCAGCATAGTTGTGCATCACGGCTACTTGCGCAAGTTATCAAGGCCGAGATTATTAGGCAATTATATAGGTTTTACTGACACCAATAACGATTGTATGACAATTAGTCTTTGGTGTAAATTACAATCTTTGTGGATGTGGTTGTAGTTATTAGTTGGCTAATAACAATAATCTGAGTGTTGTTGTATTTTCATTATTAGCCTAACGTTAGCTGGCTAATAACAAGAAGCTGCGAAGTGAGACCTAACGTTAGTAAGTTAGCAGCGTTACAGTTAGCGTTACAGTTTAGCTAGCTGCTAACGTTAACAAGCAACTTTACATCAGTGGAAGAGGCAGAATTTAACATGATTTCCAATCGATTTGGTCTGTCAACACATCTTACATTATGTTACAGGAATTTGCTGGGTTTATTAAAAGGAAGATGCCAGACTTTTGCTATGACATAATAGTATTACAAGACTGTTGTTGACTCAAAGCTTTTATAAGTTTGTATTAGTTTCATTTGGACAACTTAAAGATGGTGTTGTGCCAAACATGTTCAACTTTCCAGCTCATCTTCAAAGGGCATGTGTATCATTGAAATTTAATCACATATTGATAGACCAATCTTATACACTGTGAATTGTTGTTGGTCACTTTTGTTTTTGTTTCTGCAGGTTATATAATGTGTAAGCAGGAGGAGAAGATCTTCCATCCCCGTTTGCTGACATTCCTGCACTAGTACATGACCACAGCTACCTTCCTGTCCGCTTTGATGGCCTTGTGGACAACGGTCTCTTGTACATTACACAGAAGCTCAATAAAACCTTCCTTTTCAAAGGGCATTAGCCAAGCTATGTTTTTTGGGTCATTTTTTAAATCTCTGTCTTCCATGTGTATACCATCACAGTAGTGTAGGTGGGGATTTCAACATGCTACATCTATATATACTTGTGAAGGGGACTATTGTACCAATTTTAAAAGCAAATAAATGTCACTTTTATAATGGTTTAAAAATAGGAACTTTTGTGTAATTACCCCTGATATATAATCCGAATAGTCTACATGAAACTTCAAAGTGTTACCTTTAATTTGAAACCTGGATTATGCTTCTACACCAAGAGGTTGCCACACAATAAGCCTTTTTTGTCAGTATTTCATATTTTATTATAACAATAATATTCATATTATAAAAGTATTTATGTAAATATAAATAAATTAGGACTGTGAAATAATTAATCACACCCAAATAAAAGTGTTTATTTATATATATGTATATATATATATATATATATATATATATATATATATATATATATATATAAATGTGTATATATATATATACACATTTATATATATATATATATATATATATATAAATGTGTGTATATATATATATATATATATATATACACATATTAATATATATATATAAATGTGTATAGACCACAGTTCAGACAGCTGCTGTCAGAATGAATCGGCGCCTTAGTTCTCATTTTTATCACATGAAAGATGAGTCAGAGATTTTATTACAATAATATCCTACATGTCACAATCCCTTAAAAGACAAAAACAAATTATAAAATGACCTTTAAGTTACATTACACATATTTATGCAGATTAAAATCTATTTAAACTGAACTTAAACTGGATGAGATCTATGCAGTTATATATTTTGCAATGAAATATTAATATGATGAACAAAAAGTTTTATATAAATATATATTATAAAATTATATTTTACAAATATTATTTATATAGTATATTATTGTTACTAATCAGTATTTTTAAGGATTGCTGTTTGATAATGAGTATTATGATCCTTAGGAAAAAAAGAGTAAAGTTTTTTTTTTTAATTAATTTTATGTTTTTTTTGTCATTGTAAAGACTTTTATGTCAAATTGTAGTGAATGGTAAATTTATGTTGTGTCTAACTAAAGGCTTTTTGTCTCTCTAAGTTTGTCTAAACTTCTTCCAAAACTCTTTTTCAAACTATGTTTTATTTATTATTGTTTATGCATATGTGAACATATGTTTTTTAATTAATTAATGTGTGTCATAAAATATATATATATATATATATATATATATATATATATATATATATATAAATGTTCGAATTTTAATTTTTTCGAGTTTTATTCTTTTAAGTGGCTGTGACATGCAAGAGATGATTTTAATATTATCTTCTACTTGTCTTTTATTGATTAAAATGCGATCTAAGGCGCCTCCTGTTCATCCTGACAGCAGCTGGTCTGATCCAAGATGGCCGCCCTCTAGGCACGTCGGCCAGCGTCCAATGAGGTGTCTGTCTGTCTATGGACTCCACATCCGCTCCAAACCGCTCATCCTGACGGGTCAGTGCGCATGCGCAAAGCAGGGTGTCCGGTGTCAAACCGAGCAGCTGTTGAGTTCGTTCAGGGCAGAACCGAGCTAGCACGTGCTACACGCCCACATTACCTGAGCGGAACCTTCCAAAAACCCACAGGGAACCGGATTTCTCCCGATACCCGGAGTCCGGATCGGAACCAGTGGGAAAGCTAACGGAGCTAACGGTGCCGAACCGGCAGCTGACCCAAAGGCCGCGGTCCGGCCCCGTCCGGACCAGAGGATCCGAGGAGCATCTCCTGGTGCTGCTGAATCACCGGAAAGGTTCAACCTGTGAACCCGTTTGGCCTGAAGAGAGGAACCGGACATGCTGATAGGTGAGCAAGGCCTGGTCCTGGTTCTGGTTCTGGGGTCGGTACTGCTGCGTGTGTGTGTATCAGGTGTCGTTGGGTCCAGTTAGCCATAGCAATGGTTCATTTGGTTCTATCTGTCCGGATCCGTAGATCCAGAATGACTAGAACCTCACTGTAAATCCACTCTGCTGGACCAGGTTCTGCTGGACCAGGTTCTACTGGACCAGGTTCTGCTGGACCAGGTTCTGCTGGACCACCTAAGGTTTGGTCCAAAGCTCCAGATGAAGGTTTCTTCTGCAGCTGTTCCAGAACCTGCTCTGAGGAACCACCTGTTTGGATCATGAACTGTTAGTTTCTGGCGTTTAAGTTCTTCCATCCAAACATGGTTCTGGACAGACGGGTCCGTTTAAACCCGAACCCTGTCGTTGGCCTGACTCGCTGCGCCCTTCATGTTTCCAAACACAAGTTGTCCAGAAGATTCATCCAAGAAATCCACAGAGACGTTTAAAAACGTTTTAGTGAGTAGATAGAATGAAGGGACGCCAAACATAAATACAAAAGCTCAGGGCGACAGTGGTCAAAAAACCATTTGCTCACAGCCACCAAACTCCCATGATGCATCGTGACACATATGCATCCTGAAACCAAAGAAGTAATGAAAATAACAAAATAACCACAACAGCTAAATATACAAATTTGCCTAAATTAATAAGAATTACCAATAATAATACATGAGGAAATACGATTAAAGCACATGGAGATTTCAAAACGTACTTTAAAGGAAAAGTGCCGTCAGCGAGGAATAATCCATGGATCATTATTTATACCTAAAGCTAATACAATCGCAGTGATTTAATGAATTTAGAGTTATTAAGTAAAAAAATCTAAACAATAATTTTCATCACGATCACTGAGTCTGGGAGCGGCCATTTTTGCCCAAATATAGTAGCCCCTCCCTCCTGCCATCTTCCGGCAGTGACGTTACGTTTCATCGGCAAACTAAAGTAGCCAGAAGTCGTAAACAATCACTGTTTGTCTGGAAGGACAGACAGACTGAGCTCTGCCGTTTAACAAGGTGACAAAAAGTCTCAGAACTTCTTAACATCTGAGGTCAGAGGTCAGATGGAACATCCTAAAAAATGACTTTCATAGACATTTTAGACCAAGTAAACAGTTATTCTACTTGCAGAAAACTAACAGTTGCTGTTGACAGAAAGTTAAAAGTAGTGTAGCTTTATGTGGCTAACTGAGCGAGCTAAAAAGGCTAACCTGTTAGCTACTGAGCCCAGCTAGCCGCAGCGCTACCCAGCTCTTTATATCACGGTTAATCTATCTTCCACTGGTCAGGTAGCCTCGTGAGACCATCCTGATCTCGCGAGCTTTCAAGGTTTCACTCGCTAATCAGTCTGGAGACTCTCCGTTAAAGAAAATTTGGAGCCGTTCACCAAACGAACGTCCAATCAGCGTTGGCTTTGAGGCGGGTTGAGGTGTGACGCAACGAGAAGCGCGACAGTTCAGTCTAAAGAACATGGCGGCTTCAGCCGATGAAACTAGCGTTAGCGTGGCTATCGAGCAAGTTTTATCGGAATTACAGAGTATTTCTTCTCTGAAAGAAGAGCAAAACACTGCTCTGGAGGCTTTTCTCAGAGGAAAAGATGTTTTTGCTCTTCTCCCGACTGGTTTCAGCAAGAGTTTGATCTATCGATTGGCTCCTCTTCGTCGTCGCTCTGTTAGTACGTCATATGCTTCGTTGATCTGATTGGTTTATTTGGCCCGTCTATCACCAACATAAGCCAATCAGCTAACCAGTATTTTTGCCCCTTCCCAAAATTACTTCAACGGAAGGTTTCCAGATGGATATGCGGAGAAAATCCATCTGGCGGAGTCAGGTTACTGGTCAGATGGATCTCCTAATAACAGCAGCCCCCCCAATAAGAAGGGAGCCAAATGCTGATTGTTGGCGGGTGTTTGAAAACACGCTTTAACACGCTATTCTTAGTGGGAAAAAGGCTTTTTCTGGCTTCAGTCTCTGTGTTTGATTGGACGCCATTTCTCTACCCGATCCGCCACGGGAGCACGATCCGTCCTGCACGAACAGATATACATCCGGGTGTCCATAAATAATGTAATTATGCTACTAAAATCACTTATTTCTCTCCTTAACTCACTAAAAAATGCTAATACACATCTTTAAAAATGATTTATGACTTTTGTGAGACAATTTTAATGCTTTTTTACATTTTGTCCATTAAACTGCTTCTCTGACGTCATCATGGGACATGCTCAGAGCTGATTAAACCATGTTTATCTGCATTTTAGTTGTTTCTTTCTTTAGATTACGCACTATAAACCATAATGTTAACATGAAAGGAAAACATTTAACTCAAAAAGACCAGAAACTACGGAGATCCCATTTCCTGTACAGATTGGGAACAAAGTGACAAAACAGGCATTTATTTTCTCAGGAAATACATTATTAACATTTAACATTTTATATTTTAGTACGTTTACTATTTTCAGGGAGGGAAAAATGTAATTTAGGTCTTTTGAACAAAATGTAATTGAGATGGACCCAGATGCATATATGGATGAGCTGATGGGCAGAACGGATCGAGCTTCCGGGACGGATCGGGTTGTGATGTCATGACGTTTTCCAGATTTAACTTACTGAGTTCCTCACTTATCCTACTTTCTAAAGCGGCGCCCTGCTGCTTAGAGGCAGATTTTATCTCCTAAAATGTTGACTGCCCTGCGTTCTCTGCAGAACCAGGCTCTGTTCCTGCTGACCGACTCTGGAAATCGGACCTTTTCTCGGTGAGCTTTGCTGATTGATGGAAACCCACTCTAACAATGTTTTTCTCCTCAGCTGCTGTTGGAAGCTCCGCCCCCACAAGCAAGAAACGACGGAGAGGCAAGAAACACAAGAGAGTCCGAGCTGAGGAGAGCCGGTGAGACCGCACACTCTGATGGGTTTGCTCAGCAGGAAGAAGTGACTTAAATGCGGTGGGAGGGGCTTATCAAGGGGGGGGGGTCTGTGTGGGAGGGGGAGGGAGTTTTTGCATGACCTGAAGGTGAAGGTGAATCCACAGCGGGCCGGATCTATGCGCTCTGGTTCTGAACGTTTCTGAGCGCAGGCTTGCTGTGAGAGATGAGTCGATGCAATCAGCTGCTTTTCCTTAGAAAACTATGAACCAATCTGATTGTATGATCTGGTTGATCTGGATCTATAAAGTCACCTGAGATGACATGAATTGGAGCTGTAGAAACAAACTAAATAGAAGTTATTTCCTGAATGATGATTCTGGTGACATTTTGTCAGAACTGGGTCGGCCCATTGTAACCCGTCACTGACGGCAGCAGGTTCAGTTCTGCACTGAGCCACAAATAGAAGCTGAAGTGACGTCCTGATCCGGCGAGCAGCAGTCTGAGCATGGTGTCAGCTGCACTGGAATGGGCGGGGCCTGCTCGCCGTGGCTGTTATATGAGCCGCGGTCTGTGACATCATCTGGTGCTGTTTTTAGTTCACATAATCAGTCAGGCTCAGTTTCAGGTTCCTTCACCCCCCAACATCGTCCCGCCGGAGGACAGGACTGAGCACGCTCAGTGAGTGGATATATGACTTCCTGCTGTCTGTGACATCATCAGACGCGGCACCAGACTGAACCTAATGGGGATCTAAAAATGGATGGGGTTCTGCTCCCCCAGCTGTCGGTGTGGGTTTAACCATCAGCAGTCTGTTAGTTACAGGAATCCAAAGTTCTGAAAGTTCTTTAAATCTGAAATGATTCCATCCTGTTTTTAATTCAGAGTAATTTTCATGTGAATGTGCTTTACTGGAGGCATCCATGTTTGTCAAAGAACACTACTGCCACCTACTGGTTAGTGACGTCACGGTGCGGTATCGGCTGTTGATCAAGTCCCAGTGCTGTATCTGGTGTTTGTCACAACGCGCTATTATCCAAGTGTAGTGGGAAAAAAAGTATTCAACTATTTACTCCAGTTAAATAAGGCGAGATCAATGGATTCAGTTGGAAAGTTATTTCTATCTTTGCAAAGAAAGAACAGTTCATCATATGGCCCTTATTACGGTAATCAGCCCTGTTCTGATCCAGCAGCGTTCGTTCCTCCTTACTTACTATAATGGAAAGTAGTCATTCAGAACTATTTACAGACACTTTGGCTAAACAGTAACATGTTATAAATAAGAGTCAGGAACAACACCTCCGACGTCATCACCCTGAACACCGGCACCCCCCAGGGCTGGTCCTGAGCCCCCTGCTGTCCGTGCCTCAGGTCCAACCACATCCTGAAGTACGCGAACGCCCACAGTAGTGGGCCTCATCCAGGACAACAACGAGGCGGCCTACAGGGAGGAGGTGCAGCATTTGGTGCAGAGGGAACAACCTGATCCTGAACGCCAAAAAGACCAAGGATATTATCGTCGACTTCAGGAAATCCAGACCCACCCGCACACCCCTCCTCCTCAACGACTCAGCTGTGGAGGACGTCAGCAGCAGATCAGGGGGGCGCCGCTCCCCTGCATCAAGAACATCATGGACAGGCGCTGCCTATCCCGGGCTCACCAGATCCTCTCCGACCCCACCCACCCCAACCATGGACTGTTTTCCCCCCTGGCGTCCGGCAGAAGGTTCCGCAGCATCTTCTGCAGAACGACCAGACTACTGAACAGTTTCTTCCTCCTGGCCATCAGACTGCTAAACGCCACAGAACACTGTGGCTCTGTTCTTGGCAGAAATAGACATTTTAAAAAGCCTTTTATTACCCTAAAAAGGAACTTGTTTCACGTAAGAAGAAAAAGACTAAATTTAACCTAAATTAGACTGAGTGAAAGGGTAGAACAGGGTTTGTCTTCACATTCAGAACAAAGGTTAACGGTTTTGTTATTCAAATGTAGATATATTTTTAGGAATGATGCGAAATACAGAAGAAATTAGGCCCTGTCCCATTTCTCTCACTTGCACTCGGTTTGGTCCCTAGCACTCGGTTTGGTCCCTAGCACTCGGTTTGGTCGCTAGCACTCGGTTTGGTCCCTAGCACTCGGTTTGGTCGCTAGCACTCGGTTTGGTCCCTAGCACTCGGTTTGGTCGCTAGCACTCGGTTTGGTCCCTAGCACTCGGTTTTGTGCGTTCATGTGTAGGTTAGTGTGTCCCAATAGTTATAGGAGCTAAAATGCTCCCTTCAGACAGAGTGAGGTCGGGAGCTGACGTGAACGAAGTGGCCTCCCAGAATACTTTGGGAACTCATTCAGCGAGAGGAGAGATGGCGTTTCGCAGTAGAAACAACGTGCCGAAATAAGGCAAAAAGTTGATTTCTTAAAAAAAAGATAACTGAAATACTTACAAGGAAAACTTAGGAAATTGCTGAGTGGGACACTGTAAGCTAAAGTTTATTAAAATGTATAAGGAAAATCTAAATCTTCCTCTGGTTAAGCTAGAGAACATGTTTGCCTTGGTATTTTGATATAGATTTAATGTGTAAATGTGTTAATCTGAGAGCATAGTCACAGGTACTTTAAGAGTATAGATATGATCCCGAAGGTTAAAGAGACTCCGTAAGCGACCGGCGTTAAAATCACCTCGGCTCTGATCGACATAATGTGGAAATGGCAGACCCGGCTCGACCCGCTAAATTACGTGATACCATTGAACTCAACGTACGGACATCAACACACCTCACCAGTTGCGTCTGATTTAGCAAGCAGAAACAACTCTGTTTACATTCAATAAACATGGAGCAGCTCTGCTGAGAGGGATTCAGTCAGATAATAGAGTGAAACAATAAAGAACATTGACTACGCCCTGACTTCTTGACATGCTGCTCTCCATTGTTTACTTCCCTGATTTCTGTTGCACTGGTGACATCAACACTAACCCAGTTCATTTGTGTCTGCTGAGATGCAACGACTCACACAGCTTTTTTTTTTTTTTTTTTGCCTGTGGGAAGGGAGACAAAAGCCGATCGTTAGCTTGTGAAAATCCGGCGTTAACAAACTAATTCACGGGGAAGGATAAAATATTTCAAAATTGAACCAAAAAGTAAAAACCAGAAGCACTTTTGTTGTAAAATGTTTCTCTGAGAAAAAACTTAATCTTAGTATGTTTGTCCTCACGACTCCAATTTGAATCTCTTTCAGGCCTGAGGAGGTTTCTGATTTTCTGAAGACTGATGGTACTCCTCTCCCAATACCCCAGAATGACCCCCACAAAGACCTGCTCCCACCAGAATGTTCCACAAACACTCCTGAAAAGGAAGGCCCTGAGGGTCTGGCAAAGCCAAGCACATTATCCCCTCAGAGAGCCGCCGTAAGCCAGTCCTCCCGTCTGCATGGTCCGCAGGACTCCCCGAGCCCCCAGATTCCAGACCAGATCACACAGCCACCGACTCCACAGAGCCCCCGCCAGACAACCCAATGCCCCCCTCCCCAGAGCCCCCGGCAGACAACCCAATCCCCCCGTCCCCAGAGCCCCCACCAGACAACCCAATCCCCCCGTCCCCAGAGCCCCCACCAGAATGCCCAGTCCACCTGTCCTCAGAGCCCCCGCCAGAGAACCCTGTCCCCTCGTCCTCAGAGCCCCTTTCAGACAACTCAATCCCCCCGTCCTCAGAGCCCCCACCAGAATGCCCAGTCAACCCGTCCTCAGAGCCCCCTTCACAATGCCCAGTCCCCCCGTCCTCAGAGCCCCCACCAGAGAACCCAGTCCCCCCATCCCCAGAGCCCCCTTCACAATGCCCAGTCCCCCCCTCCCCAGAGCCCCCACCACAATGCCCAGTCCCCCTGTCCTCAGAGCCCCCACCAGAGAACCCAGGCTTCGCTTCCCCAGAGTCCAAATCAGAAACGCCCACCAACTCCAGACATGAAAAAGGCCCCTGTTGAAGGTGAATTGGCCCCTGAAAGTCCCCTGAGAAACCCCCTGTATCAGAGCCAACCACCTTGTGCCACATTAGACGCTCTTAGCCAAAGTCTCAGTAAATCACCGCTGAATGTTAACAACATAACCCAGAATGCCTCGCTGTTTCCTGGTAGGACCGCAGACGGTCAAACCGAGTTCTTCCAAGCACCTCCAGCCTCACCTCACAGTGTTACCTCTGAATCTACAGCAGTATTTGCACCAAACTCCCTCAAAGCTCCTACTACGATGATGGCAAGCCCCGCCCACTCAGATCCATTTCTCTTGCCCTCAGTTACGTTTTGCACCGGCATCCCTTCCCACACCCTGTGCTCCCCCCCCACCTCTCTCCTCTGCTCTCTGGAATCTCCATTCAGCTTCCCCTCTCCTCAGATGGCTATACCCCCCCCACATCAGAGCCCGCCCCCTCTGGAGCTAACCCCGCCCCCTGCCCAGCTGCTTGGCTCTGATGATGAAGAGCAGGAAGACCCTTCAGATTACTGTAAAGGTGAGTTTATCTGAACTTTTGGGATATTACTGATATGATTGTTTTCCTAAATAGTGTTTGAGGATAGAAACCCCTCGTCCTTAACATGGACAAGGTTTCTACCTAAAACCAGAGGCTGGTTCTACAGCAGAAGAGCTGGATGCAGATTAACTAAATAAAGTCCAGATGAATCCTTTTTACAGATCACACTTTAGATGACTGAGGTCAGTCCAGTTGACTGATTATAAGATGGAAGGTGGCCGGTTTAAGATTTCACTGGTTACTGTCCAAATCGGAACAGAAACCAAGCATTGAAGGTATAGTAACTGTAGAATCGCAGACTGGGTGGCATAAGGTAGAATGATGCCACCCAGGGATGCAGGAAGGAAATCCCTTTGGGAAACACCTGCGAACCACTTTGGTCTTCATTGTTTTGAATTATAAAACATTTAGAACCACCAGGCCCGTCTCTAGACCTTCCTGCCCAACCAGAGAAGGATTCGTCCATAGATTTTGAAAATATATCTGGCCAGATGCCAACAGAATCTTTGGCCTCGATACTAAAATGCTTCGCACCAATGAAATTGAAAAGGGTGAGGGGGGGACCCGTTCATCCGTTTCTATTTGCATGTTTTCTAAACTAAAACCAGGCTTTGTTGGGCTGCTGGATAAAACCTGGAACTAAACGCTATTTCTGACTTTTGGAATTGAAAAATCTTCCTGGATGGAAGAGAAACGTCTTCAAACTTGGAAACAAAGTCCAGTGGATTGATTTTAACTTTTTTTGGAAAGAGCAATGAAATGCAGCGACGTGTATGTCACCTCGTCAACCATAGAGGGAGGCTGAAGCAAAACAAACATGGAAGCATCGGATCGGTTTTAGCTGGAATTGCCTCTATTTCATTTTGAAAAAACTTGCTGAAGGACAATATGTTTTTGTATTTTTGGAAAAAAATTTTGCTCGTCCCCCCTGCCGGGATTTTGTAAGAGTTTGATTTATCAGTTAACTGAACTAAAAGAATACGATACGTCTCGACATGGAAGGCAGAGGGCCAGTCGGCTCGAATTAAACCGATTGTCTCTGCCTTTTGCAAACATGTACAGGAGGCTTCCCAGATTGATGTCATGTAGAATTTAAATAGAACTACATGTATTAATCTGGTTTATGTAAGGTTAGAGGTAGCCTCGTGAGACCATCCTGATCTCGCAAGCTTTCAAGGTTTCACTCGCAGATCAGTCTGGCTACTAAGAAAATTTGGAGCCGTTCACCAAACGAACGTCCAATCAGCGTTGGCTTTGAGGCGGGTTGAGGTGTGACGCAACGAGAAGCGCAACTGTTCAGTCTAACGTGGCGGCTGCATTGTTGATATCGTTGTCTGGGCAACCACAATGTTTTACATCATGTGGGAACGTTCAGCCAGTCATGTAGCTGTTAGGAAGCTGAGGCAAGGTTCTGATTAAACGTTCACAGATGGAGAGATAGAGCTCTGACTGAGGCAAAGCTCAGTACAAACATTTATACCTTAGAAAATCCCAACACTCAAACCCCAACCCACCTCCAGCATAAAGAACTTAACATATGGAGGAGAAATACCTTAAAAAACAGGTTAATGTATCTTCCACTGGTCAGGTAGCCTCGTGAGACCATCCTGATCTCGCGAGCTTTCAAGGTTTCACTCGCAGATCAGTCTGGAGACTCTCCGTTGAAGAAAATTTGGAGCCGTTCACCAAACGAACGTCCAATCAGCGTTGGCTTTGAGGCGGGTTGAGGTGTGACGCAACGAGAAGCGCGACTGTTCAGTCTAACATGGCGGCTTTAGCCGATGAAACTAGCGTTAGCGTGGCTATCGAGCAAGTTTTATCGGAATTACAGAGTATTTGTTCACTGAAAGAAGAGCAAAACACTGCTCTGGAGGCTTTTCTCAGAGGAAAAGATGTTTTTGCTCTTCTCCCGACTGGTTTCGGCAAGAGTAGCCTGGCTTGTGGGTGTGTTTTCGCCGTCGCTCTGTTAGTACGTCATATGCTTCGTTGATCTGATTGGTTTATTTGGCCCGTCTATCACCAACATAGGCCAATCAGCTAACCAGTATTTTCACCCCTTCCCAAAATTACTTCAACGGAAGGTTTCCAGATGGATATGCGGAGCAAATCCATCTGGCGGAGTCAGGTTAGGTTAGAGGAGGGCGGTCTCTGTTAGAGAAGAGTTCGACGTCCCACTGTTAAGTCTGAACTTGGCGATTCTCTCGTGAACATGTGAGAAGCATCCATATTTTACTGATTGTTCCTTTATGACCCAAAGCTGCTTCAGGAAAGGGTTAAATAAAGGCCGCCCAGAAAAGGGGCGGAGTGTGAATACTGTCTGGAGTCACTGCTCTCACAGGTGAACCCGCCCTGTGCTGTCTGAACCTCCAGGCGGGTACTACCCAGTGAAGATTGGTGACCTGTTCAACGGCCGGTACCATGTGGTTCGGAAACTGGGCTGGGGACACTTCTCCACGGTTTGGCTCTGCTGGGACCTGCAGTAAGTAATCCTCTCTGATTGAAAGGTGTGTTTCCAAAGCTGGACTGGTTTCAGACTGGGATCCTGTTTCCTTCAGGAAGAAGCGCTTCGTGGCCATGAAGGTGGTGAAGAGTGCTCCTCATTATACCGAGACGGCTCTGGATGAAATCAAACTGCTCCGATGTGTGAGTATCCCGTGTCCTGACCTCTGTACCCTACAGCTCCAGGTGTGCTCAGGTAACCCGTCTTTCTCCAGGTGAGGGACAGCGACCCCTCCGACCCCTACAGAGAAACCATCGTCCAGCTCATCGATGACTTCAAGATCTCTGGGATCAACGGAGTTCGTATCCTTGGCTATGCGCTGTCCTCCCCTCCACCCGTAGGTCTACCTGTCTCGGTATCTTCCTCAGCCTCTCCCAGATGTCTGCATGGTTCTGGAGGTTTTGGGTCATCAGCTTTTGAAGTGGATCATTAAGTCCAACTATATGGGACTTCCTCTGGTCTGTGTCAAGACCATCATTCGACAGGTAACATCCCAGATATGCTACAGCTTAGACTCTTTATCTGCAACTAGGGCTGCAACTAACGATTATTTTAAAAATCGATGAATCGGACGATTATTTTTTCGATTAATCGATGAATCGGACAAAAAATATTTTTTATATTAACCTCTTTATTCCAAAATAAACATTATAGACAGAACAAACAAGCACACAAGTACAGGTTGCTCATTAACTGTACTGGTGCAATATGAAAAATAAATGTTTGTGTTAAAACTACGCAAACTTACATGAGAAATGTAGCTGTACATCCACAAAATATAGGCTACTTTGTTTCATAAAGCGCAAAAAAAGAAATTTTTGTTTTTAAAGCCCCTAAGGGGTTCAAACAATAGGCCCCCCCATTTCAACAAATGAGTTTTTTTTAGACTAGAAGAGTTCTGCCTTTTAAGACAGGAAAGTATAGCAGTTAAAGTTGCTACTTGAGAAAATACTGAACCAGAGATAAAAATAGCCCTGTGATTCAAATTATAAATTGTATTTGGAATAAAATTGAGAGAACTAGGGGTGCTAAAAACACATCCTCCAAAGACAGATATTTACATGGAAATGTGGCAGATAATTAATTGACATATTACTGATCTTGCTGGATTTTATTCTGCTTTACTTCCATAAATTGCAGGATCATCTTTACTTTATCTTTGCCAGAAGATTTAAACTTTAAAAGTCTTGCCCTCATAATTTGCAAGTTAATTTATTTATAAAGTAAATGTAAACGCTGCTAAAGCTAATTCAAATGAAATTAAAAGTAAAATAAGTAGCCAACCTTATCACTGTCTGTAACCTACTAACACGGTAAGGAAAGCATCAGATGAGCTACCTGAGAAACTAACGTTACGTTTCCCCACTTTAAAACCAAACAAACATGGTGGTTCCGCGCCATGTTAATTTCTTTTGAAAAAAGTTGCATGTTATCACTTTTTTCGCTTTACAAAGCGCAGGCTATTTTAATTATTGTGATCAATTTGCGCAGTCAATCCCGGTGCATGCGCGCTTCATTTGCAGTCTGGACGCTGAGGCTCTGACTGCAGCGCTGAGAGGGACTCCTGCGGGAAAACGCGGTTGGGGTGGGGGAGGCGCCCCACGGCAGAGCAGGAACGATACATGCTTTCACGTAAGAGTCTCCAAAAGCCGCCAGTGACACCGAAAAAAGTCGCCAGATTTGTCGCTAGTCGCTTTTTTGAAAAATAGTCGCTGGAGGGGTCCGAAAAGTCGCGGAGTTGGCAACACTGCGCCCTGCAGCGCTGACTCGCTCTGCCATATTTTTTTTTCTTCCTCTTTCAGTCAAGAGGCAGTGATGACGGCGCAGCGGATGACGCAATAATCGCGCGACACGACTAATCGATGATGAAATTCGTTGCCAACGCTTTTAAAAGTCGATTTTTATCGATTTTATGGATTCGTTGTTGCAGCCCTATCTGCAACACATTTCAGCTGCTGAACGCGACAAATCCTACTTTCTGTCTGGTCAACAGAAAGTCGAGCCTTAGAGGTCGTGGCGTTTAGCGCTCGTTGAAAGTCAATGGGGATGATCACACCCGACACAATTTCACATAAGGGGCTTGGGTCAGAGTCCTGCACGTGTCTGATTCTTCAAAACTGTATCCGTCCGGGAGTTCAGAACCAAGACCCAACCTGTTACCCACAGTTTGTGGAACTCTTCCCAATATGGTTTTATTACCTGACAGTCCCAAAACACATGGAAGTGGTCGGCTCCTTTAGACCTGCAGAGTCTCCGTTGTTCTGATGTCGTCTCTGAATAAATCACAAAAAAATTGTACAATGTTTTTTTCCATGTGACGTGGAAAAAAATCGGAGTGGAGATTAAAAAGTCGCATGTAACCCGTGTGTTCAGGCCTTTACTGACTTGTTTGGCTCCAAGTTGTTGATGTTTGGGTCGGATCCGGACTTATTGACCAAATGGGTCTAGTCAGCGTAACTTAACGGTTCTTCCATAATAAAGACTAGAGTCAAATCTTCGTCGTTAAACTAATCACTTATTCCATTGAATGGTATCGAGTCTTTTTTCGAGTCAGTTGGTTCTGATCCGTTGTCGGTTTGTGGGCCTCCAGGTGCTGCAGGGACTCGACTACCTTCACACCAAGTGTAAGATCATCCACACCGACATCAAGCCGGAGAACATCCTGCTGGTCGTTGACGACGTTTACATCAGAAGGTTAGCGGCCGAAGCCACCGTCTGGCAGAGAGCTGGAGCCCCGCCCCCTTCAGGCTCATCAGGTGATTGGTCAACGTGGTGCCGGACGAGTGTAAATACCAGAACCCTCCTGCGCTTCCCGCTGTCACTGGGAACTCTGGTCTCTGCTTACTGGGAGCTGTGGTTTCCAGGCTTTTCTTCGTCTGCTTTTTTCTAACTGAGCTGTTTCTTCTTTCTGTTTCCACCTTTTCTTCCTGTTTTCCTTCCATCCGTGTGTCTCTAGTTAGCACGGCCCCCAGGGATGAAGAGGTGAGTGCCTAGGTGTCTTCTTTCCTCTGTTCTGATTGGCTGTTTCTCAAACCAGGAAATTCATCATCGTTTTCCATCGCGGTCAGATTTTACTGCATGTCACCAGAAACAAAACGTAACAAAGTGGGCGTGGCCAGCATGACATCACACACGGCTTGGGCCCGTCCCAATAACTGCACTCCAGCTGTCATGTCCTTGAAGTCTGTTTTCCCACTGATGGATTTCAGTGTGTCCAAATGCTGTCTGTAGCCCCGCCCCCTGATCCACACCTCCACATGCATCTGAGCGGACTTTGGGGAATTACCCACAATCCATTGCTCCGTCTGAAGTTTTAATCAGAAAGGTGAACAGTGTTGCTGATTGAGCTTCAGTGGGCTGGAATGTAAATCTCTCAGCGCTAACGGATCCCTCAGAAATATTAACTCCACACTGGGGAAAAAAAAAAGGAAATCTAAACAAGTCATTATTTCTTAAAAGAAGTGATTTGTTCTTAAATTGAGGTCAGTGAGACACTTTGTCAATTGAACAAAACAATTTAATAACTATTTAAATAAGGAAAATTAATTAAATTGTCTTATTTCAAGTGCATTTTATCCAATTATCATATTTTAAGAGTAAAAATACTAGTTCCATTGGAAGAACATCTTATTTACCTCCTTAAATTAAAGGTAAATACACTTAATTTAAGAAATGACTTATTTCTTTATGGTTTTTTTCAGTTCACACGTTTTTGTGTTATTGACCTACAGGGTGAAAATTTACAACAAAGGCCCATATTCTGTCAAATTTGTTTTTTTTTTTTTTGCATGGAATAAATTTAGCTAAAGATTTATTAGATTAGAATAGAAAATCCCTTTATTGTCCCACAATGAGGAAATTCTGGTTTTTACAGCAGCAAAAAAATTATAGAAAAAATGGTCACACAAATGTGGACCTTAGAAAAATGTATAATAACATTATAGTAAAGTAAAAATATTGTAAAGTGTTTAAACAATATAAATACTGTGCACATACTGGAACAACTGGTTGAGGTTGTTGGGAACAGTGGTGGTTCTAGCGTCTTCCGGCTGCTGGGAGGAAGGATCTGTGATAACGCTCCCTGGTGCATTTAAGGTGCAGCAGTCTGTCACTGAAGGAGCTGTCCAGTTCAGCACCAGCTGAACCAGCAGATAACTGTTGAATGTAAATGTTACGTAAAACTAAAGTAGATCGTTTGGAATAGAGCTGTTATTATTTCGATATATGCACCTTCTAAAGTATTCTGGTCTCATTTAAGTGATTATCGCTCCAAATGGATCATGCTGGACTTTTGAATCGTAGACTTAGTAGATTTGACCCTTTTAATTTGAAGATGTCGTATTTATTCCAGTAAATGTTGAAACGTTGGTTTAACTGCTTTCTGAGTGGTTTACATGTTAAACTAAATATATAACACGGCTATCAGCGAAGTTACACCGTTACAGATTGAGCACCAGACGTGACTCCACCCACCTTTTAGCTACAGACTTAACCCCGCCCCCAAACACCACGCCTTTTGAGGCAGGAAGTCATTAACAGTTTTTTTTTGTGTGAAACTAAACCAGTTGGATCCAGTTCTGGTCGTCCCCCCTGCCTCTGCTCACCCCCCCCGATGTGTCTGTGTGTGTAGATGGGGAAGTTGTCTAAAAACAAGAAGAAGAAGCTGAAGCGGAAGGCAAAGCGCCAACAGAAGCTCTTAGATGAAAGGCTCATGGATATCCAGGTACATCGGTCTTTCTACACACACTGCATACTTCCAGTAGTACTACACGGATATATGCATACTACTGATGTACGCAGCAGCTGGTCACAACATGAAGGCTTTGCTTTGTTTTATTATTTCAGAGGATGGATGAAGAGGAGGGTCTCCACCAGGCTGACGACGCAGAACCGACCTGTGAGTAGAAACTCCTCCTGATTGACGAGTCGAGTCGAGTTTCCTGTTTTATGGTGGAGCAGCGTGAACTTCTATAAGATGGAGAATCCATATATTGGCATCGTTAGCATTGTTGCTTCCCGATCCGTAGCATCAGCCCATGTGCAGGCAGACATTCATCCAGATGGTCATAAATAATGTAATTAAGGACCTAAAAGGACTTATTTCTATCATTAAATCACAAAATAATCTCAATACACATCTTTGTTGGATTGTCTTGTGATAAACATTTTCTTTCAATGTTTTTCTTAATTACTGTTAATAAAATAGGCATCAAATATTAATTTTATTTTTGAAGCTTGTTGATGAATTATACCGAAATACATAAGCTTGATCTCCTACATCTTTGAACTTTTTAAGGACTTTTCTGAGATAATTTAATGCTTTTTACATTTTCTTCGTTAAACTGGTTCTCTGACATCAGACCAGCTCAGAGCAGCTAAATCTGATTAAACCATGTTTATCTGAGTTTTAGTTGTTTTATTTCTTTAAATTACGATACATTTATGTTTAAATCCAAGCCGTTTTCATTTGAGCCTTTTTCCACCTGAATCCCCGCTCTTTTTGGCCCTCATGTCCCTCCGTTGTCGCACAAACTTGCCCCCCCTTCCTCACCGCCTCGGCCGTATCTAGACCCACAGCTAGTTCCTGATTGGCCCTCTGGCGTTGTGGCGTGGAATAACATAGCGCAGACCACGCTACAATATTGGGTATAAACCAAAAATATCTGCGACACGCTGCTGCGGGAGGAGAACCAGCCTTTTAGTCCTCGACGCGAGCAAACCGGGTTCAAATCCTGTGGTTCTTTGCCGCATGTCATACCCCCATTCCTGCCAGCCTACTGTCCGAAAAATTAGTAAAAACTCAAAAAATAAAAACATCCATGTTTTCTTCTTCTGTGGTTTTAACTTTGCAGATTGTTTCCGCATTCTCAGCTTCTGTCATCAACTGTAACATTTCCTGTTCCACAGCCAATCACAAAGCCAGCCCAGAATCCAGCGGCTCCTGGTTGGACGACAGGTCTGCTGGCCACGCCCCCGGGCGCTTCTCCAGCCCTGCCTCTGGTTTATCAGGGTTCTCCAGCTCAGTGATGTCAGCAACGTCAGAGTCCGCCCTCTCCACCCAGTCGGGATACTCCAGCGGTGGTGAGTAAAGCAAACGCTAGCTCCTCTAATGGACGTCATTAGACGACGGAAACACGCATAGATGCTGCCTGTTACATTAGGACTGCAGACAAACAGAAGAAAAGAACAAGAAATGCAGTAAATGTCTGAAGCGTTTCATTAAGAAACCCGAAATATTTGAACATTAGCATGTGGGACACAGACATGTAGAGAAATAATGTGCTTTATACTGTGGGAGGTGGGCTGTGCCTGATAGTGCTGATGTCCATGATTGTGGGAAACGGTATCAGATCGGGACAATCTGTGACGGGAACATCAGAAGCTCGCTGTTAAGGAAACTATCAATAAAGGATTTGGCTGGCCGGGAGGCGGCGTCGCCTGGGCCTGGGAGGAGGCGTCGCCTGGGCGCGGGAGGAGGCGTCGCCTGGGCGCGCGCGCGGGAGGAGGCGTCGCCTGGGCACGCGCGCGGGAGGCGGCGTCGCCTGGGCGCGGGAGGCGGCGTCTGTGTGTAACATCTGTTAAAGGTGTGATCAGTCTTTGATAAACCTCTCAGGCAGACATGATGCTAACATACGTTAGTGTGGGCTGACAGCTGATTGGCTGAGGTTGGACCGATGGCTTTGAAGTTCTTTTGCTTGCAGGATTCAGCTCCTCAGACTTTGTGCTGAACCCTCTGGATCCTCGAAACGCCGACCGGCTCCAGGTGAAGATCGCTGATCTGGGAAATGCCTGCTGGGTGGTGAGACATCTTCCTCCTCTCCTCTTCCTCCTTCACAGCTCACCTTCAGCTCTGACCAATCAGATGTCTTCCTCTCTCCGTGTTTTTCTCTACCAGCACAAACACTTCACAGAGGACATCCAGACTCGGCAGTACCGAGCTCTGGAGGTCCTGATCGGAGCGGAGTACGGACCGCCGGCGGACATCTGGAGCACAGCTTGCATGGTAAACACACAAACACAGCAGAACACTGATCCAGAACACGCTGAGCAGAACTGGACCTGAGAGGCCAGAGGAACTCAGCTGGAGCATCCTGACAGGTTCTGGGCTCTTTCTCCTCAGGCGTTTGAGCTGGCCACCGGAGACTACCTGTTCGAGCCGCATTCAGGAGAGGACTACACCAGAGACGAAGGTAACCGTCAGAACTGGGCTCGGTTCTGCAGACCCAGCTTTCCTCCACACGTCACGGATGAACCTTTGTCTGCTTCCAGATCACATCGCCCACATCATCGAGCTGCTGGGGCCCATGCCTTTGCCCTTCGCTCTGTCTGGCAGGTATTCCAGCGAATACTTCAACAGGAGAGGTGAGACGCCGTCCCGCCTGTTCAGGTAGAGTCCGGTACCTTCCGGTTCCTCACCCGCTGTGTTTCCAGGTGAGCTGCGTCACATCTCCAACCTGAAGCCGTGGGGACTGTTCGAGGTCCTGCTGGAGAAGTACGAGTGGCCGCTGGACCAGGCGGCGCAGTTCAGTGACTTTCTGCTTACCATGCTGGAAATGGAGCCTGACCGCCGAGCGACGGCGGCGGAGTGCCTGCAGCACGCCTGGCTGCACACATGAACCCTCACTGTGACTCATTGACTCATGGTTGGAGATGCCTCAGCTGATTGGTCAGCCGACAGACCGATCAGAGCGCCAGATCCACCCAGACACACCGGAGAGGAGCCGCCGCCTGTCCCGCCTGAGCTGGGCTCCATTTGCTCAGAGACGACGGGCTGAGCTTCCTTCCTCTGGCAGCTGAAACCCTCAGAACCAGAATCTTCCTCTGCTGTCGGTCTGAGCCGACACGGCTTCAGGAATCCATTTCCTGCGTGTGATCACTTCCTGTTCCTCTAACGTCTGATTAGTTCATGATCGACCCGATTCATGAAGCCGCTCAGCTGATCGATCACCAAACCGTCCGTTATTGGCGGGTCGGTCGGCTGATCGATCAGCAAACCATCGGTTATTGGCGGGTCGGTCGGCTGATCGATCACCAAACCGTCCGTTATTGGCGGGTCGGTCAGCTGATCGATCAGCAAACCGTCCGTTATTGGCGGGTCGGTCGGCTGATCGATCAGCAAACCGTCCGTTATTTGCGGGTCGGTCGGCTGATCGATCAGCAAACCGTCCGTTATTGGCGGGTCGGTCGGCTGATCGATCAGCAAACCGTCCGTTATTTGCGGGTCGGTCGGCTGATCGATCACCAAACCGTCCGTTATTGGCGGGTCGGTCGGCTGATCGATCAAACCGTCCGTTATTGGCGGGTCGGTCAGCTGATCGATCAGCAAACCGTCCGTTATTGGCGGGTCGGTCGGCTGATCGATCAGCAAACCGTCCGTTATTGGCGGGTCGGTCGGCTGATCGATCACCAAACCGTCCGTTATTGGCGGGTCGGTCGGCTGATCGATCACCAAACCGTCCGTTATTTGCGGGTCGGTCGGCTGATCGATCACCAAACCGTCCGTTATTGGCGGGTCGGTCGGCTGATCGATCACCAAACCGTCCGTTATTGGCGGGTCGGTCGGCTGATCGATCACCAAACCGTCCGTTATTGGCGGGTCGGTCGGCTGATCGATCAAACCGTCCGTTATTGGCGGGTCGCTCAGCTGATCGATCACCAAACCGTCCGTTATTGGCGGGTCGGTCGGCTGATCGATCAAACCGTCCGTTATTGGCGGGTCGGTCGGCTGATCGATCACCAAACCGTCCGTTATTGGCGGGTCGGTCGGCTGATCGATCAAACCGTCCGTTATTGGCGGGTCGGTCAGCTGATCGATCACCAAACCGTCCGTTATTGGCGGGTCGGTCGGCTGATCGATCAAACCGTCCGTTATTGGCGGGTCGGTCGGCTGATCGATCACCAAACCGTCCGTTATTGGCGGGTCGGTCGGCTGATCGATCACCAAACCGTCCGTTATTGGCGGGTCGGTCGGCTGATCGATCACCAAACCGTCCGTTATTGGCGGGTCGGTCAGCTGATCGATCACCAAACCGTCCGTTATTGGCGGGTCGGTCGGCTGATCGATCACCAAACCGTCCGTTATTGGCGGGTCGGTCGGCTGATCGATCACCAAACCGTCCGTTATTTGCGGGTCGGTCGGCTGATCGATCACCAAACCGTCCGTTATTGGCGGGTCGGTCGGCTGATCGATCACCAAACCGTCCGTTATTGGCGGGTCGGTCGGCTGATCGATCACCAAACCGTCCGTTATTTGCGGGTCGGTCGGCTGATCGATCACCAAACCGTCCGTTATTGGCGGGTCGGTCGGCTGATCGATCACCAAACCGTCCGTTATTGGCGGGTCGGTCGGCTGATCGATCACCAAACCGTCCGTTATTGGCGGGTCGGTCGGCTGATCGATCACCAAACCGTCCGTTATTGGCGGGTCGGTCGGCTGATCGATCACCAAACCGTCCGTTATTGGCGGGTCGGTCGGCTGATCGATCAAACCGTCCGTTATTGGCGGGTCGCTCAGCTGATCGATCACCAAACCGTCCGTTATTGGCGGGTCGGTCGGCTGATCGATCAGCAAACCATCGGTTATTGGCGGGTCGGTCGGCTGATCGATCACCAAACCGTCCGTTATTGGCGGGTCGGTCGGCTGATCGATCACCAAACCGTCCGTTATTGGCGGGTCGGTCGGCTGATCGATCACCAAACCGTCCGTTATTGGCGGGTCGGTCAGCTGATCGATCACCAAACCGTCCGTTATTGGCGGGTCGGTCGGCTGATCGATCACCAAACCGTCCGTTATTGGCGGGTCGGTCGGCTGATCGATCACCAAACCGTCCGTTATTTGCGGGTCGGTCGGCTGATCGATCACCAAACCGTCCGTTATTGGCGGGTCGGTCGGCTGATCGATCACCAAACCGTCCGTTATTGGCGGGTCGGTCGGCTGATCGATCACCAAACCGTCCGTTATTTGCGGGTCGGTCGGCTGATCGATCACCAAACCGTCCGTTATTGGCGGGTCGGTCGGCTGATCGATCACCAAACCGTCCGTTATTGGCGGGTCGGTCGGCTGATCGATCACCAAACCGTCCGTTATTGGCGGGTCGGTCGGCTGATCGATCACCAAACCGTCCGTTATTGGCGGGTCGGTCGGCTGATCGATCACCAAACCGTCCGTTATTGGCGGGTCGGTCGGCTGATCGATCAAACCGTCCGTTATTGGCGGGTCGCTCAGCTGATCGATCACCAAACCGTCCGTTATTGGCGGGTCGGTCGGCTGATCGATCAGCAAACCATCGGTTATTGGCGGGTCGGTCGGCTGATCGATCACCAAACCGTCCGTTATTGGCGGGTCGGTCGGCTGATCGATCAAACCGTCCGTTATTGGCGGGTCGGTCAGCTGATCGATCACCAAACCGTCCGTTATTGGCGGGTCGGTCGGCTGATCGATCACCAAACCGTCCGTTATTGGCGGGTCGCTCAGCTGATCGATCACCAAACCGTCCGTTATTGGCGGGTCGGTCGGCTGATCGATCAGCAAACCATCGGTTATTGGCGGGTCGGTCGGCTGATCGATCAAACCGTCCGTTATTGGCGGGTCGCTCAGCTGATCGATCACCAAACCGTCCGTTATTGGCGGGTCGGTCGGCTGATCGATCAAACCGTCCGTTATTGGCGGGTCGGTCGGCTGATCGATCACCAAACCGTCCGTTATTGGCGGGTCGGTCGGCTGATCGATCACCAAACCGTCCGTTATTGGCGGGTCGGTCGGCTGATCGATCACCAAACCGTCCGTTATTGGCGGGTCGGTCGGCTGATCGATCACCAAACCGTCCGTTATTGGCGGGTCGGTCGGCTGATCGATCACCAAACCGTCCGTTATTGGCGGGTCGGTCGGCTGATCGATCACCAAACCGTCCGTTATTGGCGGGTCGGTCGGCTGATCGATCACCAAACCGTCCGTTATTGGCGGGTCGGTCGGCTGATCGATCACCAAACCGTCCGTTATTGGCGGGTCGGTCGGCTGATCGATCACCAAACCGTCCGTTATTGGCGGGTCGGTCGGCTGATCGATCACCAAACCGTCCGTTATTGGCGGGTCGTCGGCTGATCGATCACCAAACCGTCCGTTATTGGCGGGTCGGTCGGCTGATCGATCACCAAACCGTCCGTTATTGGCGGGTCGGTCGGCTGATCGATCACCAAACCGTCCGTTATTGGCGGGTCGGTCGGCTGATCGATCACCAAACCGTCCGTTATTGGCGGGTCGGTCGGCTGATCGATCACCAAACCGTCCGTTATTGGCGGGTCGGTCGGCTGATCGATCACCAAACCGTCCGTTATTGGCGGGTCGGTCGGCTGATCGATCACCAAACCGTCCGTTATTGGCGGGTTGGTCCGATGATCGATCAGCCAATCTGCGGCGCCGTTTCATTTTGCTGAAGTTCTAGTTTTCATGGTCGGACTCCCTGATGTTGAGCTTCCACTTGTTTACCTGTTCTGATGACATTAGTGCCTTGAAAAAGCCCCGCCCCCTGAGCCGCAGTGACATCACTGATTATGTCAGGAGGAATCTTCTTTTCTATGTGTGTTTGTGTGAAAGCAAAGATGGATGTCGATCCTGGGTTTACTGGGAATGAAACGGAACGGAGAGTTAAACCGACCAGAACCAACCAATCGATCACAGAAGACGCTATGATGCTCATTTATTGGATCTGCGTCCAACATTTGGACCGCAGCTAGACACGCCCATATATGGACATCCTACTGAAGGTAGTGTGAGCTAGTTTGGCCTTTTTTGAATAAACGGCAAACAGACCAGAAGCACAATAAAAAGTGAATTTAAAACGGTGAGTGATGGGAAGACAGTCCTGCTAGCATGTTGGTCTGAAGACACAACAGTTTCTGGGCTTTAGGACTTTTTATAAGTTTTCAAGATTTCAGATGCAAACAGAAATGATTTTAAAAAGAATGAAATTAGAGGAACTTTGAGTGTTTTTGTTCCTGAGAATAAAAAATGGAGTGGATTTAAAATAAAAGGCACTCTTTAGAGACATCAGTGATGGTGGAAATCTATCGATTAGTCATGTCTGCAGCCCCGATTAACATGTTTGGTTGATTATTTTCACAGGATGTGGGGGGGGGAGTTGTCTCCATCATGTCGTCTCACTGAAGGTTCAGACGTTTCTGTAACTTGAAGCTAAATAAACACTTGGATCTTAGTTAAAGGTTAAATCTTTATCATGTTTATTCCAGAGGTTTTTATTTTGTCGCCCAGAACCAAACAGTTTAACACTTTCTAAACTTTACATGTGGGGGTTTGTTCAGGGTCGGCCCCTGAGGGCCGCTGTCCTGCAGGTTTCCAATACATCGGATGATGCAATAAAAGGCTGTTAATTAAATTCTAAAACGTGCTGGACCGCGGCCCTCAGGGGCCGACTCTGGACTGCCCTCTTTTAGAGCAGCTCTATGATTATATTCAGAAAACTAAATTCTCAGGGAAGAGCTTTAAAGGCTCACTGTGGACGCAGTGACCTAAAGAGCCAATATACTGAGCTTGACTCTATCGATGCTACCAGCAGGGATCCCCTCTTCAAATACAGACTGTTAGTTGGAACAAGATGCACAGTCGTTGCCAGGTCATGTGACTTGGAAGAACTGATCACTTTATGGCCACAGGTTCTTATAGGATGTTTCTCAATTCACTAGAACGTGAGTACGGACTTGTGACATCACCACATTCAGAGCTGGTCTGGAGCTGCATTTCACCTCCTTTTATTAATAGTCGACTTTTTTTTCATTTACTGGAGGAATAATAATGAACACAGTCAGATAAACACAAATCTAATGAACATTTTACCAAATAAAACAAAAATATCCATCAGAGCCAGCGGTCCTTCACACATGGCTATGCAGAGAGAGAGCTGCTATAGATGGGCTAACGTTAGCCCAGGCTGCGGCTAGCCTCAGAGCTCCACTGGTTGCCGCGGTCCTCTCTA